TCTGAAAAGAAAATTTGATTTTAGCCACTTAAATTAGTGAACTAATTAAATTATAATTTGACCATTTAATATTTTGTTTCGTTTCATTTATTGTTATCAAACACAATGTAAAGCTTTTAGGTAGAAAATAAACATAACTTATTAAGTACATTGTATTTCAGAGTATTTGTTAGTAAATATTATATCTCATTGTGGATTATTGTAAAATATTTTTATTGTAGTGTATTAATAATGACAACTATTTATATTATCAATAAACAATCCAGAAAATTGTATGAAAAATAAACCAAGTAATGTATTATGTAGTATACAACGACTCACGTGCGGTAACATCAGGCGTAAGTGTGCAATCAAAAAGTGGTAAGCTACCCCTTAACATGTACTCACCTCCATTGTTCCCATAAGAACCCTAACATTATTTTCATCAAAAATCTCTGTGAAACTATTAATAATGTACATTTTCACATTCACTGAGTACCTACTCAGTCATTATCAGTCGTGACACACGTTATTTATGTTTTCGGCCGAGTACATAACGAATGGAGTGAGCCATATTGAAAAATGTCAACAGGTTACATTATCGACGCATATGTGAATTCCAGGCGTCTTCCAACTAGCCGATAGAAAAAATAAAAAGAAATACGATTTCTTATCAACCAGACTAAAAAGTTGAATCGTATGTACAGATTCGCCGATATTTTTTAAAAGTTCATACTGGCAGAGTTGAATTGGCATTTACCTGGATCATGTTGTTAAATGGCCTCGTAACGAATAATACCGGTGGAACAGTGATGGATTCGATTGATTCCACCAGTTAACGATGCAATTCACACAATAACTACACTTTTACGAACAAAAATCCATAACAGAAACAAACCCACAATGCACAGCTGCGATCTGTCAAAAATTTATGGTTGTTTTCGTTTTCAATCTCCTTCCATAGACAATGTAACTTGGGAAGATACACCAAAGTAGTCATTTCCATACTTCTCTCCATCATTAATGTGAAAAAAAATTTAAATTCGTTTTCGTTCTCGTCCCGATTTTACATATCCGAGGATTAATAACCTTAATATCGTCACTGCTATTCCACCTATTGCATCATCACATCATCTCTTAAAAAGTTTAAAATCTACAAGAAATTAAATGGACTTCATCCGTCAGCTCCGAGGTAGCGCGTGGCCACAGACTATTAGATGCTACGCATCGCGTGGCGCATGGGTTTCTTCTTATCCATAGATAAGATCCCACTAGGGTAGAAGTACCTATTCTGTGAATAAAAATATGAGTATATTATTCACATTTCATGCACTGCATCAATGACATTAAAATTTCAAATAACATGTAGGTCTTAGAATAATAAAGATGTAGGTATTGAAAACATTACCCAAAATTAGAGTTCGCTCATTTTACTGATTAAACCCCTATAAGGGGTATATTTGTCCCGCTAATGAAGTATGTTGATTTCGCCTTCCACTGACTAAAATGCGGCTATGTGACAAATGGTCATATATTCGTTTTAAATTAAGCATAAGGTAGAGCACAAAATTAACTTTTAAAAACAGTTAAAATTAGTTAACGTGTCCGACTTATCGGAACTTACACTAACGATGCGTAGCTGAAATAGGTACACTAAAACTGGGTTATGGTTATCCATGATAATCTCAAAAAAATATTTTGTCACTTAGACGCGTTTTAGTTAGCGACGGCAGATAGGTAATCAAATTTTACTTGAAATCGTCACTTCGAATGAAACCACTAGGCACCCTTAGAATAATAACGCATAGAAACCTAGCCCGCACACGCTAAGTGAGGCAAATTGAAGCGCGCCCAAAGGACCTACACGAACGGGCGGGTCGTCAGTGCTCAAGGTCAACTTGCACCGCGAACAGCTCCAGAATTTTAGCTAAAAATGACGAAATGTGCGGTAAATGAGTGTAAAAATACGTCAGACAAACATAAAATAGATATTAACATCAAATTCCACAAAGAAGTAACGCGTTTCAACTTGTATTTTTATATAAATATTCACTAAAACCGAAAATTAATTTCGTTGCAACAAGACACGAAAATGTTGCAAAGTAACGAATTTCTTTCTCCCAATTTTGCTATTCTGTTTCAAAATAATTATATTACGTACTTTTTTGAGAATAGGCAATATCGCGATGGCTGCACATTTTTTTATTCTAATGTAAGTGTGCATTAGACTTCCATTGCTGCAAGTTGAATGCGTACAAATGTTGTTTACAAAGAGCAACCCCTAGAGTTTCTTGCTTATACTTTTCGGGGGAATCTGCCTTACGAATGAGCGGTAGAGTTTAACCAATGTGACGATTTCAAGTGTAATAATGCTTACCTATGAAATAAAGATTATTTTAATTTTGATTCTGGGTATCGTTTACGGGGTATATGGGGGTGCTCATTACAAACATATCCGCTCACGCGATGCGCTCATCCTACCGCAAAATGGCGGCTATTTGGTTTCGCAAATTAGAAAAGGATTCAGTTTAAATACAAGTTTTTATAAATAAAAATTATTATTCTGCATTGCTAAATAAATACCCTCCGTACTACAACAAAAACATCTCAAATAAAATGCAGTAATACACCGCAAATCCTGCACTTAAAAAGCACTAATGAAATTTTTGGTGTTCTTGGGTAAATGTGATAATATTCCGTTTGAGTGGTTCTAATGTTTACCATTCATTATATTCAGGGTAAACTTAAAAAACGCAACTTACGGTATGTTTTCAATAAATATACACCGACATCACCAGCCCAAACAATAACACACACGATTGTCGTGACGTATTTTTGAAGTTGTTTATATTTTTAAATGACAGACCCAGGCATTAAAAACTTTATGGTTTGCTAGAGTAGTTACCGAAATAGCAATTAGTATTCGTTCTTTTACCTGTTATAACTTCGATATCCGATAAATCGGTATAAAATCATCACCGGCACCTCTAGGTGTGGTATGCTTCCAGAGACGCATGAATCGCGTGAGCGGATATAGCACTTATTTCTAAATCCAAGATGGCGGCCACGATTTTTCAAAAAAATGCAATATGGGTATCCTTTTCGAGATATTTGGGGATGCTCATTACGAATACGGCACTCATTTCTAAATCCAAGATGGCGGGTGCGATCTTTCGAATAATGGCAAGTTGGGTATCGTTTTTGAGATATTTGGGGGTGCTCATTACGAATATAGCACTTATTTGTAAATCCAAGATGGCGGACAGGATTTTTCAAAAAATGCTATATGGGTATCCTTTTCGAGGTATTTGGGGATGCTCAATACGAATATGGCACTCATTTCTAAATCCAAGATGGCGGGCACGATTTTTCGAATAATTGCAAGTTGGGTATCGTTTTCGAAATATCGAGATATGCGAGATACAATTTCCCCACTTTTGAGGGAAATGTTATTCCAGGGCATCATTATTTGTATAGTTGTGTGCGTGCCGACGAGCGTAGATACAAGTTGCTTACGCCTACATGAATTCCATTTTTGCCTCACTTGTGACAGTTCATTTGATATGGAACTATCATTCTATGCGTTATTATTCTTAGTAGGCACCCTTTTGTAGAGCAAATTCAAATATCCTATCTATCTTTAGAATGTTACAAATGATCTTTTTCAAATACCTACAGGAAAACTGAGCAACTCAGCATTCAGGTAATAATGCGCGACCTTCTGTAATGGAATGTTACAAGAATTTGTAAATAATGAACTTTTTTTTTTAATAAAAATACAGGATGAATTTTTAGTCATCGTCCAAACTTTCATAATATTATGATCTTTAGTGAAAATATAACATGCGCAAATTTTCCTTTTAGTGTAAATCAATACTAAAATTAAGATATGCCATCGCAAAATTGTTTTAAAAAATTGCGCGCGTGTGGACAGCCTACTCGATATGCGCGCTAGGCCACCCCCCGCGTCATTGATAAAAGACATAAGTTGCAAATTTTCCCTTCATACTTTCACGGGCTTAGGACCGTCAAGTTACAAAAGGCCTTTGTGGTGTTATTTTAGAATGTAGACAATTAATTCGAATTTAAGTCAACATTTTGTTACATTAACGCACGAAAACGAGAGCGGAAGTTATTTATAAGTAAATTGTTTTAGAGGTTTGACAAAATTTAATGATATTATTACAAAATAATGATAAAAATAATGCACCTGATTAACACACCTAATTAGGGAAAGTTCGTTTCCCGAACTTAACTTCTACGCAATTAAAGCGCTGTGTTACCGAAGGCCATCGAAGAATTTACTTATTGAATTTCAAAGTCACTAAAAATTTTACCATGTGTAGAGAACAAAAGAAAATAATCTTTACTTTTGTTTGTGAGACAAATAAATAAAAGGTTCGCTTCCTACAATGAATTGTAACGAATTAGTATTTAGCAAGTAATAAAAAAAAAGAATCTTCCCATCGCCCTTTTGTTATCTACGCACGTGGTGTTTTTTATTAGTGAACTGGAAACATTTTATAATAATATCAATAAATTTAAACAAAACATCGATTTACGACAAATGTAGTCCGCACTCGTATCGTACACAGAAGTATAAAAATAAAAGCAGGCCATGCCTTTTGCAATAAGGCGTATTTAAAAAATTTGAATCAACTTATGTACATTTAATTAAAATCAAATAAAAATTACCTTAGCGTAACAACTTTAACAGTATTTTAATAATTGCTCAAAATGTAAACCATTCCTCTCCAAGCAGATTCTTGCACGTTTTTGAATATTGTCTTGTATTTTGTTCAGCACTGTAGTGTCACTTTTCACTTGTGCAAATGCACTTTCAATTTTTTGTTTCAATTCGTTGAGGCTTTGGGCCTCCTCCACATACATGCGGCGCGTTTAATTTCGCCCCACAAAAAAAAGTCACAGGGTGTGAGGTCTGGTGACCTGGGTGGCCATGGAACGGGACCCCCGCGGCCGATCCAGCGATTCCCGTATTCCATATTTAAATAATTCCTCACGTCGATAGCGTAATGCGGCGGTGCACCGTCATGCTGATAATAAATAGCAGGATGGTTAATGAGGGCTAGCGGTACGTCGTCCATCAAATCAGAGACTATGCTTTGTAGCATATTGAGATAGGTGCCTCCGGTCAGCCGCCCCTCAATAAAATACGGCCCTAGAATTTTATCACCGACAATCCCGGCCCACACATTTGCACTAAAACGCACTTGGTGATAATTGTCTTTTATCATGTGCGGGTTGCGATACGACCACCAATGTTCATTATGTTGGTTGTACAGCCCCACACGTGTGAATAGGGCTTCATCAGTCCATAAAATGACCGCATCGGGGTGTGCGATCAGCCACTCGCAGAAAACTCGACGAGGCAGCGCGTCTGCTTCATTTAGCGTTTGCACTTTTTGGAAGTGATAAGGGTGCAATCCAGAGGTGTTGAGCAGCTTCCACACAGCGTATTGGCTAACGTTGAACCGTCGAGCTGCATCACGTGTACTTCGTCTTGGATCTCTCTCGAAAAAATCGAAGATTTCGTCTTCGATTTCCACGGACAGTCGCGGCCTACCACGTCCTTGGGCGTGTGAAGGCGTCGTAAACTGGCCATGGCTAAAAGCCTCTGTATGACATGCAGAAACGTTTGGCGGTTGGGGACTGTAGGACTTGCTATTCCATAATTGCGAAGGCGAGGAATGCTCTCTGACTCGTATAGTCTCTAGGCTCCGTTTAGGCTTTCATCACTTATAAAATAGCACTCGACCATTTCAAAGTACTCGCGGTTTGTATACATAGTGACACGTAAATGCGTTTTCAATAGCGAGATAGCGTTGCACACACGTACGAAGCGCTACACGGACGTGTGACGACTGAAGTGACAGCCGCCAATAGCGTTCGGCGCGGGCGGCGGCGGTGGCGGCATTTTGCTTTGATTGGCGTATGATTGGAGAATCCGCGCGGTTAGCGTATGGCATTCATTCATAGACGCATAGTCGTAGTAAATAATTATAGTGTAAATTGGTAACCAATTTTTGTCGAGTATTACTTCGGAATAAATATTTTCATTTTGAAAATAGACCTATCAATTTTTTTTCGAAAATGGAGTCTTTGAATGATACCTAGCGGCTGGAAAAAATTTGGACGATGACTAAAAAATCATCCTGTATAAATAAGGTATTTTATTAGAAATAAAACTTTATATACTACGGCCTTACTACAGCAGTTCAAAACATTGCCTCGCTTTCCTTCATAGCCACTAAAATTTGATTCAAACTTAATCCACGGCGGGTTAACGAGAGACTCGGGGCGAGCGACCCAGCGGTCGTCGCCGCTGATGATGCAGATGATTCGACCAAGAATCGCGCTCAAGGCGAGTCTTCGTTCGTTTGTCTTTTATCGCTAGCCTAAGCGACGCAGATTTAAAATTTAAAATTAACGATTTCCTAAATCGTAATTTTTTTGAAAACGAAGTATTTATTAGTGATGATAGATTTATAGTGAAAGTGAGTTCCCGCTATAGGGTAAGTTTTGGATGTCACACACAACCTTGTGTATTTAATTTAATTTGGTTAAATTTAAAATTTAAAGTTTCTGGTATCTGGTAGCAAGGAAATTTTCGAAAGTTCTCTTCCAGTGTTCCCATGGTCTTGCACCATTTCTAGCCGCAGGAACCACGTCGAAGCGTTCGAGTCGTAGGTATTTGTCCATTATTTACATGAAAAGATTAATACTTATTTCGTTGATTCATAATGCTGGAACTATATTGCCGCAATTTATCGCGTTGTGTGACATGACCTTGAGTTGACCAATCAGGAGCTACGACTTTAACTCCTGATTGGTTAACATCGCGCATCGCGATAAATTGCGGCAATATATTGCCAGAAGAAAATTTATTCGTTGTGAATCCATCTTAATAATGCATTCAGTTTCGTGGTGAGGGCACGGCCGCTTTGTCATATTTTTGGTCAAACTTTACGATTAGTGATGTTCACTTGATGCAACACAGTTCTCGATTTTGATCGATTTGTGTTATGATAAAGGATAGATTATAATTCTTAATTGAAACCGTGGAAAAAGTTATAAAAATATTCTCTAAATTTTATTGTTGTTTTTATTATTTTACTATAAATATTAATATTTCACGATATCTTATAACCAACTTGAAAAATCATTATTTTAAATAGGTAAGTGCTGCGTCCGCGTCTCTTAGTTAAATGTAGGAATATTCGACTTACGGCTATTATACTTCAATGTTACATCTTTGAAATTCAGATCGATGCTAGAACTTTTTTATCAGATTGGAATTGGCTTTTCTTAAAAACTAATCGATTGTCACCACTTTCAGATTCCTTTCTCTCCAGAGAGATCTTATTCAATCTTATGTGTGTGCCAATGTGCCTCTTCCCACTTGCATTCATCTTTAGTTATTGCCCATAACTCTTCTGTTATACACTTGTCGATCCACATTTTTTTAGAAAATAATATTAAAATATAGACTTTGTAATAGTAACAATTATAATTACAATATTTCTCCTATATATTTATACTAACAGTTTATTCATATGGCATATATATATATAGTTTCCCGTTTGATCCTTTTGGACTCTTCCTCTCCATTTTTCTAAGGCTCAATTTACATTGCGGCTGAACGGAATGGAACGGAAGCGTCCATTTCGCTTCGCTGCGCGTGAAGGCGCGCGCGTTCGATGGAATGCGGCGCGGTGGATGGAATAATCGAATTCCCGTGGCTATAATGTAGTATTGTATTTCGTCGACGTTTGACGTCACACTGTACTTGTCTTCGCACCACTTGCCGCAGATTCGCCAGGCGTTGCTGACGACAGCTGCGGAATTCTCGCGAATGCGCGACTCGCGAGCATGCGCGAGAAATCCGCGGAAGACGTGAGACGTGACTTTGGGTCGTATTTATTAGTTTGTACGTTACACAACTGATCATAAAGTTCATTACGCAATGTACAATATCGTTACACAAATTCGCTTCCATTTCGTTCCGCCGCAATATAAATTGAGCCTAATCCCTTTTCAACATTTAATTATTTTATTATTTATAATCCACGTTTTAAAAACAAGCCAAAAAAGCCTCGGTAAGTTGCTGAAACGTTAACCGCGAAAAGCCGAATAAAATAAGAAAAAAAACTGTATTTCCATCTTTTGGGACGAGACAGTATGGCAAAAGCTAACTTCATCCATATTTTAATAGGTACATATTTACTCTGTGCAGTGTGCTTACTCTTTGGTGAGAGATTCGCTCTGGACCTTTTGGAGGGAAAAGTATCGTTTTTATTTTGACTTTCAATTATTTTGTGAAATCTAGTTTAAATTGAAATAGGATAGTGCTATTGTGCCTTAATCGAAGATTAAAACGCGAAATTATACGAATCTCGAACTAAAATACCCGTATCGGCCCGTTTTAAGGAATCCCGAGTCAATCCAAGCACGCCGCCTCAAATTGCCTATCCTCTTTGTGACGGCCATGTTTACAGAAACATAATTAAACTTCATGTTTAGGCTGATGGCTTTGCCAAAGCCTTAATAAATTAAAAAAAAATATTGAGAGGATATGTTACATTCTGGCAAAATCGTCGCGCAAAATGACGGAGCCATAGACACAAAAGTTGAAGTTGAATGAAGTTGATATAAGGCTCATTAATGTTTTCGTACAATTGTGAGATTTAAATACATTCTTGTTGAATTCTATCACAAATCATTAATTCTATTTAAAAAAACATAATTTGAATGCTTATCTTTTTGCATAGAGTACTATAATATCTCATCGCTAACTTAGCGCGTAAACCTAGCAGAAGGAGGTATCTAATTTTACTTCGCTTTCCGGTTTTTTTGGAGTGAATCTATAAGAAACTTTAGAAAATTTTATGTCTTATAGTATATCTGCAGATTTTAAATTGCACTGGTCTTTGGCTGTATAAAACTACAAGAATCCAACCATGGCACAAGGACAAGTTGTTTTGGATTCAATTACGCAGGATCTGTTTATTTGTGGTTGCTGCAAGACAATTTTCTATACTTTACAGTCGTTTCTTGATCACAAAGGCGTACAGTGTGTTGAAGAACTAATTAGCGTTACACATCTGGAGTCACACAGCACTTACTCGCCTTCTGTCACAACATATTTACCGACAGAAGCTGGAACAAATAGTGAAATGCTAACTGCAAAGACAGCCATAGACGTTAATAACATATCCTGTGTAAAATGTAAGAAAAAATTTAAAAAGAAAAAATATTTATTGGCACATATGAAGTTACATGATAAACCATACCAATGCCAAATTTGTGGGAGGTGTTTCGACAACAGCTCCCATTTGAAAAGGCATACAACTTCTCATAGAGTGTGGCCAGATAGTATAAACGCTACAACAGCGAAAACCGTGGATGTGGAACTGTTAAGTTATTCATGTTCTTATTGTGATTCAGTGCTCTCAAACTACAGTCAGTTTCGGGCTCACTTAAACAACCATTTATCTATGAAAAAGTTTAAGTGTATGCAAAGTGATTGCATTTGCTTTTTTGAAACTTCTGATGCACTTTTGAAACACATATCTTTTAACCATAACAATCCAAGCTATATGTGTTACGTCTGTAAGAAGTCATTTCTATCCTTGGAAGATATTGCAAATCACTACCAGAATCATGATCAAGTTGACAATGTGGTCAACCTAAAGAAGCCTAAATTCAAATGCCTACAATGTGGTGCGGCTTTCAATAGACCTGATAAATTATCACTGCATTTGCTGAACGAAAACCACAATAAAACCTGTATACATTGTTGTAAAACTTTTGTCAGTAGTAAAAGGTTAAGAATGCATTTACAAATTCATAATAAATCTAAACCATATCAATGTACATTATGTAACAGTACTTTTCACATGAAGAAGTATTTGAATTCTCATATGTTGAAGCATGGGGAGGGCCAATTTGATTGTGAGGTGTGTAGAAAGAAATTCAGAAGACAAGATGTTTTACACAGACATATGAAAACACATTTGGCAAGGAAATCATTTGTTTGCCCTTTAAAGGATTTTGAGGAGTGTAAAAGAGAATTTAGCCGCAAGGACAAACTTAGAGAGCACATGAAGTCTCATGCAAAGCGTCTTAAATGTTCTAGTAAAGGGAGTAAGCCAAATGATGCCACTGAATTGGAAGAAATTTGTATTGTGCCATTAAATGGGAATAAAAGTTTAAATGACATATCATTGACTCAATAGCCCATAAAGGACATGACATTAAAGCACCACTCTGTTCTTTTGGTGATACTTCTAAACAACTACACTGCCGACTAGAATAACTTAGTGTAGCATCTGCATTCAAACCTTTATTAACAGTACAAGGCCAATAAAGTAGGTCACATGTCACACCTATAGACCTCCGGTCGATGCCTGGTATTCTTGGTGTGGAAAGGATCACATAGTTGTAACAATATCACTTATGGATTCTGTTGAGATCATCCTGATGTAACCAGGTGTTATCAAGAGAGTTTATAGCATTGTATTGCTTCACGTCATCAGTGTATATTTTGAATTTGAAATGTTATGAGAAAATAATATCAGAAACATGACAAAAAATGGTGGTCGCAGATGAGAATGCTGGGGCATACTAGATGGCTCCAATAGGAGTTCAGACTTCACAAACTACAACTACTGAGATATACCTTTATATCTCATACTGTAGGTAAACTTTTTTTTTAGTACAAAGTGATGAATCGAATAAGTTGCGTGTCTGGTGGTAATCAATAAGCCTGTTCATGACAATTGTAGTGCCGCTCAAAACGTTAAATCACAAAGAGCTGAGGGACACTGTCACTCTGCCTGTCATTCTGAGACATAAATTGACAAGTCCCATGTGCCTGTAATTTCACTAGCACCCTTCAAAACTGAAATGCTGTAATGCTTACATTACTGCTTGGCAGCAGACATAGTTAAGGCAGCAGTACTTCCCAGGAAAAATTTGCCTATTTATTCTATCTTATACAAAATGATGTCATGGCTCATGAAATAAAGGAAACTTATTCAAAATAATTCTGATACAGTACTAAATTCGAAATAGTTGATTTACGACATGAGATTTTTTTTATAATACTAAGTGACGGGACGAACAAGTCATGCGCCTGGTGGTAAACGACACGCTTGTCCATTTATTCAGGCTTCGCACATGATAACTAACATAGTATTGTCTCAAAAATTGCATTGCATTTCATATATTAATATTACCTATTTAATAAATTTCAAAGTGACAGTCTTGTCCTGTCACTTTGAAAATAAATCATATACGAATGATACTTAGACAATGGAATTTTGGAGATAAATTATAATATAATGCAGTTTTGAGATAAAATATATGGTAATGCAATTTTTGAGATAATACTATGTTAGTTATTAAGTGCGGCTTGTGGAAATTCGCAAATTTATAAGCAGTCATCATTATTAACTTAAGACCTCTTAGATACTAGAAGTTTCTCTTGTCATGTCAGCGAACAAACCTTTCCAAACTGTCCACAGAGAAGAATCATACAACTAAAAGAGAAATTAACATACATTGCCAATTCACACAAAAAGTTACATCAGACAATGTACAGGTATTTTCCAGCTGTAAATGAAGCATCACCTATGTGGCTTCATTTACTAGACGTAGGCTTTCATTATCCAATTAGTTTACCACTTATTTTTTTAGTAGAAAACGAAGTATTGCTTACAGAGGCTGCTTACTTTATCATATTGTATTATAATCATTGTCATAAAAATGAGTTCTGTTAAAAAGTTATTGTTGATTATAACTATGTTTCATTGCCTGTACATGAGTGATGTTAGTGTACAGTTTATAATTGCGAGTTTTGTTTATTATTAAAAATGTGATTAAACGTAGGTAGATAATGTTGTGTTACTTTTCAGGGTCGTCAATTTAGAGTCACTGATCAAGTTTTCTTTGAGATCCATAGAGAAGATCATACTCTTGGAAGAATTGTTATTGGCCTCTTTGGTGATCTAGCTCCGAAGGCTGTCAAAAACTTTAAGGTCCTCGCTACAAAAGGAATTAATGGCAAATCTTATAAAGGCACTCGTTTTAATAGGATTATCAAGAGGTTTATGGTACAAGGTAAGAAGTTAATAATATTACCAATACATATATGCTGATAAAATTAAAACTGCACCCGTAACTATTTTCTAAACACATTCAAAGCATTTGGACAGCACACCATAGATTAATTTTTGGTTGGTAATTAAAGTGTTAGAATTAACGATATTTAAATTTTTCCAGGTGGTGATATTGTGTCTGATGATGGAACTGGATCCATAAGCATCTATGGGGAGACATTTGAAGACGAAAACCTAGACACTCAGCACAGTATGGCTGGATTTGTGTCTATGGCTAACAAAGGTATTGATTTAATTACTGTATAATACAATTTTGTGCTACTAATGCATCATATAATTTGTAAAGGAATTGTTGATAAATTGCTTATGATCTAAGAAAGCAGATTATAGATTATTTTTATATTAATGTACGTGTTGTCAGTTGAATAAGGCGAAGAATAGTGGAAATATAGATAGTTGCATAATACTACTTGTCCGCACATCGTGTCCCCATGAATCGGGCCGTAATTGCGTTGCTGTATGAGTGAGATGTTATTTTACAGCTAAGGGATAGCGTGCGGCAGTGGCTTGTATAAATTCCTTATTTTTTCTGTTATTTATTTTAGTTAGATTATTTTTTGTCTACAGGGAGAGATACAAACGGATGTCAATTTATAATAACTACCACTGGCACACCTTGGCTGGATAACTTGCATACAGTAGTTGGAAAAGTGGGTATTTTAAAACAATTGTGTGACATTCTATTTAATGGTCATTTTTGCACTGCACTAGGTTAATCACATTACTTTAGTTGACATCAAAAATCTTTCGATGTTTCAGGTAATAGAAGGCCAAAACATTATTCACATGGTGGAGCACACTCCCACTGACGGGGAAGATCGGCCGCTGGCACGTGTCTTCATTGCCGATTGCGGAATTGTGTTTACCCCACAGCCATTCTACATTTCCGATGACCCATATGAGTAAGATTTCATATAGATTTCATTGAGCCTGGAATTGGTGGCGCTAGTACGTCAATGTTTGTGTTGTCAGAAGAATAAATTAGTCCTATATAAGTTGACATGTGTTGAAAAAATAAAGTTTATTGTCCCTTTCTTGCACAACGACGTTATACGAAATATTTACAACATTAATTAATATATAATAATAATATTAATATATAATGTAATTACCGTATCCACGGCTACGGTAATTAGATCTAATTACCGTTTCCATAAAATATTTGTTTCTTAATAACTCGTCATTGTTAATTTAATTTTATATAGGACTAACATAAGGATCCGATTTTTTCAGTCTTTGGTCATGGATCAAGGCATCTGCGGTTCCTCTCACTATGTCCTTCTCGATCCTTGGCTTCTTCCAATGGATGATGACGAAGATGGAAATATAAATGTAATTAGAATTTTATATAATAACTACGAAAATACTACATTTAATACCACAAACATATTTGGTATTAAATGTAGTAGTTTTAACATATATTTCATATATTTATGTTTCACTGATTCATTTTAAGCTCACTCGGGTTATGGTAAATTTTTATTGAAAATGCCAAAATTCCTAAATAACTCAATTTTTGACATTACGACGTGATCGCATAATTTTTCGCACGATCATCATTTCATTTTGTCATTGTTCAACATCTTGTGGCACTAGTGGAAATCTTATCGTGGAGTATCGCGTGACTATATTTACCGGCCATTATTTTACACTATCATACAATATGTTACTTGGAATATGAATTGAAAAAATATTGTTTCGTTGCGATAATACCGGCCGGTATTTCGCACCTGCTTATAAAACCGCAAACAAAATGTAACAACTACAAAAATACCGTTATAACATTGCGGAAGTTACGACCAGTATTTCGCACCTGGGTGGGAGCGATTTAAAATGGAACCTTGAAACCCTTTAAATGTAACAGGAAATACCAAATTCATATTTACATTTTGATATAGTTCTGTTTTATAATTTTAAGGTTTGCATTTTGTTTCTTCATAATTCTTCATAACTGGTATACTAGCAAATTTTGGATGTGGGTAATTTTCAGATTAGTTTTCTCTACATAATTTTGGTGGCAATTTTCATTATTCAAGTAAGTATTCGAGTAAATTATCGTGAAAAAGTAAATAGTATTTCAGGTTACTACACTCGAATATTAAATAATACTTCATGATACTATTCTACAATATTTAGTATTTAACAGACATTGTCACCGAAATTACGTACAGAAAACTAACCTGATTATTACCCATGTAAGTAGGTAGGTACCTACAAAATATCAAAATGGGAATACACCATTTTGGGTTTAGCTATATGGGGGGTAAAAAAATAAGTTAATAACTGAAGTTGATTATTTTAATTAATTATTTTTTTAAATTCACATTACATACCTTAAACGTTACTCTTAAAATAAGTTATTTACAAGTTTTAATAAGTTCCACACAATTTTAGTTAAATTAAGAAGGCATTTTTGGTCAAGAAGAAATAAAGATAAAAAAAACATGATTGATCATGATTCCTCAATAACAACAATATAATACTTTCATTATCACATTAGTGTAATTAGTGATGCTAGTTTTATTAATTTTATTGACTATCATATACTTATATGTACATGCATATAAAGTCTTTTAGTCAATGTCACTTGTATATTATTACTTACATAACAACCACTGAATATTAATTATTATTGATACAAAAATGAAATAAAATTCGAACCAGCGTCTGTTGTCTCATCGTAGGTACGTATCGAGTCTAGTCAGATCGAAGGATTGTTTTTGGATTATTCTTTCTATTTTATTAATGTGTATTGTATCAATAATAATAAGAAACAAATGGAGTATTTTCACAATAATTATTATTGTAATTTTTTTATAAACAAACCTCAAAAGTTCGTGGAATTACATCTGTTTGCCAAGTTTTATTGGAATCGGTTACCGGAAAGTGTCAAAGTGCCAAACCGGATTCATCCCCTAGTATCCCGCCCTTATAGTTAGAATATTCTCTTCAAATTTAAATGGTACCACTCCTGAGATACCCCGTTTCCAACAGAAAATAATCATCAAAATCGGTTTACAAATGCTATCGTGGGTTGAGTATGTATATGAGTACGAGTAATCGCGTAACATACATACAAAAACATACGGTCGAATTGAGAACCTCCTCCTTGTTTGAAATATATATGAATATCATAGTAGTAAAACATCATGATATTCAATAAAAAAAATATTGCAACCATTGAATAATTATCTTCGCACTGGATATTTAAATGACATCCTTATACACTGCAGTAATACTGTAGTGTTACATAACTACCGATGGACTAGCGATGGGCGAGTCGAGTTATTTATCTCGAGTTACTCCCACAAGGAGTCAACTCGCGCTACTTTTTGTGAACTCGAGGTAGCTAGGTTCGGTTCCCGCCGAGTCGAATACTTCATTCATACTGCGCGTTGGCAATTCGTTCTCACTCGGTCCTTCACACACCTTCGGAGCACGCTCGAGTCGCGGTGGGCACGCCGGTCGTGTCCAACTCGGTGAATTGTCAGTTCGAGTTGTACTCGCGACTCGCAGTTGCTCTGTCATACATCGAGTCGAGTTAGCAGTCACTTCAACTTAAGTTACTCAATACAACTCGTCCCATAGCTAGTATAGACTGACAAAAAGTAACTGAATGCTTACCTTTCACACTACAATCTGTCTTTTTTGAAGATAAAGTAAAATGGCAGATCAATGCGCAATAGTGTTGCCCACTTGCAAGCAGCTTGTGATTGCAGTCGATAAATTCTATCGACTATTCACTGAATGTTGGTTACGATTATGCAATAAATAGCTGAACTTATTTAATTTTTTATCATCATCGGCCTATTATCTGGACAACTGCTGGATATAGGTTCATTTGAATGGTCAATTTTTGCAAATTCATACGCACATACACTACATTTAATTTTGGCACAATTTTATCTTCTTCACAATCTATCTATAAAACTGACACCAACAACTACATTACTGTTTAAAGTTTTACGAAAACTGGCAACCCTATTAATGTCATTATACTCCATCTTCAAAAAGATCGACTATAATCATTGACTTCCCATTATATGGACGTCGGGTCCGCGCTAAAAAGTGTCCGAACTTATAGGGCGTTAAAATCGTATACAGAGCGTCATTCACGCTTTAGTCTTCGTTTGTTCGACTGACAGCGAAGCAAGCAAAATTAGACAGTACTGCGATGACATTACAATTTAAATTCAACGCTTTAACTTTTTCATATTCCTTTACATGTCACTACGTTTAAATAGGTTGACTTGGGACATTTTTTTCGTGGTTTGTGTATTAGACCCGTCGTCCATTTATTTGTAAGTCAATGACTATAATAGACTAGTATTTTAACAACACCTATTAACATTAACCCCAGATATTATACTGATTACTTACTCGAGGATACGATAGTTTTATTGTTGACGGTAACACTATTGACCCATACCGCACAGAACCAATAATGCAACGACAATTTAACACCAATTTCAAAATTTATTGCAAAGTTAAAAATAACATTCCTATAAAAAGTATACGAGCTACTTCCATCGCAGCCGCCTGACTAGACGCGGTTGACTCTCTACCACCACCAGACTGTTGCCTTGCGGATGAACCGCATGCTTTAGAACACGACTCCCATTCACGGCACGCGTCACACGCCGTGCTTGGTATTGGTTGGAAGAACAAGCGGGCACGGTGACCTGGGAAATTAAATATGTTACGTCTAACATACGTAATAGTGACTATTTGTTGGATATAAATTTATCGTATGAGTAGATACGTTGTATCTGTTAGGCTCATTTTACATTGTCAAGGAACGGAATGAAAGTGGATTTTTGTAATAAAATTGCACGTAGCATATTTGGCTTTATGTCAAATGTATAACGTAAAAACTAGATACGATAAGGCAGCTGTATGAATTCACGGGACGAACAAACCGTGCGCCTAGCAACACATCTGTCCATAGCAGTTGCAGTGCCACTCAGAGCTTTAAATTGCTGAGATCTGTCACCCTGAGACATGATTGACAAAGTCTCATGTGCCTGTAATTTCACCAGCACACTTGCCCTTTAAAACCGGAACGCAGTAATGCTCACATTACTGCTTGGCGCCAGAAATAGGTAAGGTGGCAGTACTTTCCTGGACGAACGCAAAGACAACAATTGAAATAAAATTATTGATCTAAAATAAATTTAAAAACAACTTTTTTAATGATATCAAGCGACACGGCTATCCATGACAGTTGCAGTCTTAAAGATCTGAGTGACATTGCCACTGCGCCTGACACCCTGAGACATAAGCTAACAAGTCTTATGTATGTATTACTTTTTTTTTAATTTTTAAATCTGTCAAAGATTTCTCATAGATGGCGCTACGACTAAAAAGTCGTTGAAAGACCAAGTACAAAGACACGACGCAAGCACATAGAAAATTTCATGAGGTTCGTTGGTTCGTTCCGTGGCTTAGTTGGTATAGCGTCTGGCACGGTATGCAAGAAGACGTCGGTTCGAATCCGACCGGATCGAAGGAATTTTTTCTGAGTGTTCGATGTTTGTATTAATAATTAAGTCTTATGTACCTGAATTTCACCATCACTCCTTACCCTTCAAAGCCGGAACGTAGTTAATGCTCACGTTACTGCTTTGCGGCAATAATCTCAATAAAATCTGGTTTGTACGTTGCACAACTGGCATAAAGTTCATTATGCTATTGTGACAATAATTCGGTTCCATTCCGTTCCGCAGTAACATTGTATTATAAATATATCTTGTGATTTAATTCTTCTAAATAACTCATGTTGTCACTTTGGTAGGCTAATTACGTGTTGTAACGTAAGCTTGTGTGTCAAATCATTATGTAAAATGTAAGAAGCAAACAAAACTTACTCGAGTCGTATAAGTCTTCCAAAGTGGCCCATCCCGGTCGCTGTCGAGCAGTAGGCAGGGCTCTAGGCGCTATTAAAGTTGTACACTGTTCAGAAAGACGCATGTACATCCACGCCACTACTCGGGCACCACCGTTCTGTAACCGTGCTGACACTACGTGACGAGCCGCCTGTAAAGTATATAAAACATTACACATTCAGGTATAACAGTCCACTGCTTAAGAAAAGATTCTAAAGAGAGGATTCTTCACCCCGAGTCGATTTTCGACCGTAGCATTGCCAAATAGTGTCACATACATTCTATCAAATTGTCCACTTCGGCTCCTCGCCGACTCAAATAATAGGTTACATATAACGTAAAGTGATTGCAATCTAGAGTTGCCTATTGATTGCTATTCAATTCATTTCATTAGAACCGAGTTCAGTGCTTTAAAATAAAGATGTTGAATGACAAACCGTCAGTTCAGTCAAGGTGTTGATATCAGCTAAGTAGCCAGATGGCAGCTGCACAGAGAGGAGAGTCAAACCACTTTCTGTTTCGTTGCCTTGAGGGACGAACCTGCACGAAAAATAGAGTCAGCCATTTCTTTAAATCGGATTATCAATAAATGTCAGTAAATAAAACAGAGCAGGACAAAGTCAGAATGCGTTTGTTACGCATCATAACAGCATGAATATTAAATTTTACCCAGCACAAATGGAGAGTTGCAGACGATATTTGGTGGAGACCTGGTCCACGCGAGGATCCAGAGTGTAACGGGGCCAAGCGGCTGTCACGTTGGTACTTCCTTTCGCAGAGAGCCCCACTATAGCAATACCACGGCCTTCGGTCACAGCTAGAGCTGATCGAGCGTTACGGACCTGCAAAGCAACCACCCGACTGTAGCACTTATTACAATATTGTGTAAGCAACATCTGTAGTGCTAGCACAATAGGGCGTGACTCGCGCAAGAGCGACATAGGGCGCGTGATTTCTATGCGAGAATAGCAGTATATCGCGCTTTATGTAGCTCTCGTTCAAATATCATGCTAGCTCTACTGTTGTTTTGTTTTATCACTCTTTAGTATTTATAATCATTAGTTTTATTTCAATTTTACCAGTTGAGTTTGTATAAAGAGCGCATTGTCGTCGTCGATGTTGATTTGCCGTGGTTCTTCGAAGCCCGTAACATTTACAGAGATGCGTAGTTTCGTCGACGTTTTTACGGCGTCTGAATACTGTGCTAGGGCATCGAGCTGAAATTAAAGAGCACAAATTCCAACTCTAAATTCTGATTGCCTTTATCTTACCGGAAAGGTGTTCTGACCTTTCTAGTTTGTTTTAAGGTCAGATCGAAAGTACGAAACCATGAAAAAAGCAGTTAATACTTACCACTTCAGGATCTTGATCTTGCGGCCGATACGATTGCAACAAGTACCTCGCTACAGGCAATGCCTCATCTACCAACTTCGAAGCGAGCATTGCTTTGAGGCCCCAAGCCGCAGTTGCTGTTTCGAAGTTATTGCCTTTCAGCCAGGGGTTACGCCATTCATTGCCGGATAGCTTACGGGACCAAAATAGTGTTGTGGCTAGAAAGGCAAAAATAATAGTAAAAATAAAATAATATCTATGAATGACTGTATGTGTTTTTGTATGATATTGTCCCCAACCCACATTAGGTCGAAGAAATGGGCTACGGCGTAGACGACACTAGTCGAGTGTTATGCATTGTAATCAGGACGTGTCATTAAACTTACCGCTGGTGTTAGCAAATTTGTCCATCATCTGCAGTGTCTTAGTTGCAAATGGATGCCTAGTGTCCCCGAACGCGGTACTCATAACTGCCAGCGAGTATGCATCTAAATTGTCATTCACGCCACGAGCTAGGAAGTCTACTGCTTTACTAATTGCGTTTTGGTAAAGGATGTCGCCACCCTGAAAAAAAAATAGAACATTTTTGGCTGTCAAGTTATTCATGGCATCTTTCTATTGGGTAAGTATGTGCATATTATAACATCGGAAATTTATGCAATTGACCTACCTACGAAAATGATTTGGTTTGCGGGTGGATTGCTAAAAGTACTAATAATATACCTTGGTGTGCAGTAGAGCTAAAAGCGCTTGCGCAGTCAATGGCAGTAGCGCCTGAGCGCGCGGATCGTTGCGTGGTTTTGGCGTTACTGGCCATGAGCCGTCAGCTTGTTGCATGCCAGTCAGCCACCGTGCCGCTGCTGCCGTAGCTACGGGAGACACCTCCACGTATCGCGCGGACCTAGAGAGCCAACGGAGTGCTACTGCCGTCATCCTGGAATCACGAAAGATCTGTAACTCTGTACACCGGATGGTAAAATGCAAACATATGGTTTCAAATCAGAATAATACCATGGATCGCCTACAGCATCGTCACCGGTTTCTGCTGCGAAAGATCCGTCTCCTCGACGATAGGCCATTAGACGTTGGAAGCCTGCAGCTATTTGAGCACGGGCTTCCATTGTTATTGTAGTTTCGCTTGGGTCCGTCAACTGTACATTGAGTTTTTGTCTTGTTATGAAGTTATAACACTTCTAAATTAGCTAGAAATTTACGGTAAATACCTGTAGGTAATCAAGAAGGACGGTCGCTAACGCAAGTGGACGCAATGCATGCGGTGGATCGGCTGCGACTCCACCCGGGTTGCGGGTATGTAATGCACCAGCTAACAATGTGCCTGCTCCCAAAAGCGAGACGGGACCAACTCGTGTTCCGGCAGTCGGTTCTAAAGTAATATTGCTGCGTGCCACACTACGTCTCGCATCTAGAAGTCCCCATGCCCAAAGATCCTCTTCAAAACCATCCTAGAACAGTGATAAGCAAATAGTACCTAGTAACCGCGTGTAAATGGAACTATGCCATACAGGGAGTTCTAAACGTCTTACCTTGACGTCAATGATACGGAAGAGGGACGCAGAGACCCCATTGCCTGTGGCCTCGACGATGACTGGTGCTTCGCCATTGCGTACCACAGTGACCAAGAAAGCAGTGCTAACGTATGACCGAGCTGGCACCGTCACTCGGACGCGGCGGAAAAGTTCGATTTCTGTTCCATAAAAAATCAGAAAATAGTTATACCTGATTTATCGCGAAAAGTGGAAAAGAAAAGCTTATTAAACTTACTTTTAGAAGATTCCACGTTATTTTCCAGCGGCTCAAACTCGAAATATTGGTCAGAATTGTGGAACGTGACTTCAACTGAAGTGTCAACGGTAAGAGAGCTTTTTAATATGATGACAGCTGCCAAAGTTTCTCCACGTTGCAGAGAAGCTGGTAATTCAGCTGTTATCGCCAAAGGAACATTTGTAGTAAACCTCTGAGGTACAGCTAATCCCAGGCCTAGAGTTGAATGGATTGCAAAAGCGCCTACTGTCCATTCTCCAGGATTCATAGGTGACCAACTTTGTCCTGTTCCTTTACCTTCACTCCTACAAACAAATACACAGCAGCTACATTAATGACTTAAATTGTTTTAAATTGATTACCTATTTGATTTTAGTAGGTTATTTTGTTATTTTGTTTTTAATGTACTGTATAACAGTTACCCCAGTGTAACGTTGGTGAATGTCCAAGTAGGTTGCGGGTTTACAGTAAGGTAATAGCGAGGAGATAGAGGCGGTGGAAGCCGACTGAAGGCGTATGGCCCAGCTAAGGGAGGTCTGGTACCTGTTTCCGGTTGCTCTTTAAAAGAATCCCCTGAAACATACGCTACAGTTATAACAATTTTTAATACCTATGAAAATTATTCAAATAGGAATAAAATGTTACCTCCGTTTAAAGTTCGTGTCACGCCTTCCGTTAAAATTACAACACCAGCATTCTGAAATTGGAACTTACATTATAAACTTTTCTGTTACTGCTTTGTACATTGTACATAGTATTCTTAGGGTCGTATTCTAGAACTCTACTCAATGCTCAAGTCAGGATTGCAATTCAAACACAAGCACTGGAAATACGACCCCAAAGGTAGGGACTTGAGTATGACTGCGAATGCTTTAAACCATACTCAAATCCTGACTTGAGCATTGAGTAGAGTTCTAGAATACGACCCGTAATGTACCTTTGTTATCTTAAAAAGTGACTAACAAACCTTAAAAACATCTCCTGTGGTGTAGCCACCGAGATCAAAGCCAAATCCAGGAAGATGGTCTTCATTCTTGAAAATCGAGTGTTTCAAACCAATAAAGCTCTCTACCTCACGTTCAATCTGGAAAATACAAATTATACATCGGTCCTTTGCACTGCCTCCCGCTCTGTTTATGCGAATACATATTAGGCTGCTAAGGGGTTCAGCAATTCTTAAACCTCGTCCATTGGTTTTCAGGTTCTAGTCCAGTATCTATATCCGATAACATGATATAAATTAATAAATAATACCTACCTTCTGCATCTCCAGCCCGCTTCCTAATCCATCAGCGTCTGACAGTTTAGCAGTAATAGCGTTGGTATCAACGCCAAGCAATGCTGCCTGCGATCCTGGCTCACCCGACACTCTTAGCTCAATCGAACCATTAGGACGATACCCGGCTGCCGTCGCTGATGCGGGCAAGACCGAAATCTATACAATGAAATAAATAAATTAACTAAAGTTCAGATATCATCAGACTACTTCACTCCAATAAGCACTAAGTGGATTTTAAAATTAATTTCGTATTCATATTGAATATCTTTATATCGTACTCTTGGTGCCACTAATGATCATACGAAAAAATTGCTTTTTATAACGTTAAAATTATAAAAATAGGAACATATAAAATATAGGAATATATAAAACAAATTTGTATATGTGAAATTTTGTATCTCCTCTTTAAGCATAAATAAGTTAATTTTGTTCGTAGAATCTTTTTAAACCTCGCTTCTGAAAAGTTGTCATTTTACAGATGTGACCTTTATCACATTAAGGGTGCAATTTATGTTTAATGAAAGCTGTCACTAATAATATTAGAAAACATCATATACGTTGCTCCGATCCCAAAGCGAATCTAACTAAAGCACTTGTGTTATCGAAATCGGAAACAACGACGGCACCTCGAACACCCAGACGATAATATAGAAAAGTTTTTTTACATTCACCCAGCTGGGAATCTAACCCAGGGCCTCAGAGATGGCGACACCATCAACACCGGTGTGCACGCCACTCGACCACGGAGGTCGTCAACTGTCAAATGCTATGCGTAGTTTCAATTTTCATAATGATACTAGCAGTCATAGAACTGAAAGCTTCTTACACAAATATATTGTTGTTTAGGTACCTTATGTTGTAAAAGATTTTTCTGAGGCACAAACACAGAAGCAGCTAGAACTGTATTGTAGATGGGATCCAGGCGTGGGTACCAGGCTAGAATAACGCAGCCTGGAGCCATGCCTACTGTAATGGGCACCGAAATGTCCACGCTTTGTCGGGCTGGGGTCAACTGTTTAGAACAAGAGAAAGTAAAATGGAGATTAATTATTAATAGTTTTGTTATTATTCGGTTAGCTGAATCGTTATAACTTAGGAATATTTTGAAGACTATAATATTATGTTATTATAATAATATGCCTATGCATGTTTCGAGCTCTTAGGTTTTCGCGATTGTTATACAATGAGAATCAGAGTATTCTTTGTGATCTAAATCGCGTACATTTGTTTTTCAAACAAACCAACGTTTCGGTCAGGTCAACCTCTCAGTCAGCCGTGACTATAAACGTTAAGGGCCAATATTATAATATCAAGTGACGGGGCGCACAAGTCGTGCATCTGGTGTTAAGCGACACGTGTTACTCAGAACCCGAAATCGCAAAGACCTGCTAGGCATTGCCACTGTGACCGTCACCCTGAGACATAAGTTGACAAGTTCCCATGTGTACCTATGTAATTGCAATTAGGATATATTTGTATTGTGCAATACCGTTTAAATTAATAAATAAGAAAGGTAAAATATATAGGCAATTTGATAATAACACAGTATATAGTAAGATTATTTACTCGCTGCAGATCAGGCCATAAATTATCGGAGTAGGACAGCGATATTGCGCTCTTTCTCCCACTTACGAGCAGGTACTGACCTTTTGTTAAAGCGCAGGGCCGTGTATTCCTACAATCGATAACTGCTTTCGATATAGATGATATAGATAGATTTAAATCCGGAAAAATAGTTTCATTTCCTATGTGTAACAATCGCGAAAACCTAAGAACTCGATACAGATGATGTTCAATTTTATTGTAATAGTGAAAGCAGGAATGGAATTAAAAATAATTTATATAGCACATTATTAATAACAATACGTGCTTGAGTCATAATATTATATCCTACAGGTTAAATATGATTTCTATAAAAACTATCCATTGTGACTGGATCAACATTCAAACAGTGAATGTGTTAAAATAAAAAAGGTTGCGACACTTTAACAATAGCTGGTAAGAAAAGACTTAAAAGGTACTGCACCAATTTGTTTTCATCGATAACGGCCATGCGTACGCGTCACGTGCGTACGTCACTAAGCAGTCGAGAGAGAAACCACAATTCGATGTCCCGTTCCGATAATTTATAACCGAGTCTGCAGCGAGTAAATAATCTTACTATAGCAAAGATATTGTACTAGTTTTTACCTCAAGAGTTTTTGCAACAAGGATGTCTCCCCGTCCAATAACAGCATAATGCACCAAATCCATTGGTTCTGTACCTGTGATACGCGCTCGCATCACATCTCCAACAGAAGTTTCTCGAGTCAATACTTCCAAAGACAAAAATTGCCCTCCATACATTTCATTCCTTTGTATGTTCACCACACGTTCTGATACTTCTTTATACTTTACCTGTGTAATGAAAATTGTAATAAATAATTAACGCACACACTCATAGATCCATAGCACTAAGGAAATCTCTATCGCGCGTGCTATGCACACACATATAGACAACCATGAATTACAACCAAACTCCCGAGAGAAATAAATGTAGGCCATACAAATACTTCTCCCGGCCCGGGAATCGAACACGGGACCACTGCGTAGCAGTCCAGCGTGATAATCGTTCGGCCACTGAGGCAGTTTGTATTATCATAAAAAAAGAAAAAAACCGTGGTAGCATAATGGTTTCACCTACCGCCTGTCAAGCAGAGGCAGTGGTTTCGAATCCGGTCTCGAACTTCTGAGCTTTTCGATATTTAATTTAATTTGAAATTTACCATGAGTTTTTCGGTGGAGGAAAATGTCGTGATGAAACCTGTACGTTGAAGAAGGTTGAACAACCCTCCGAAAATGTGTCAAGTCCCAAACCCGCATTGGACCAGCAGTTTGGCGGACTATGGCCTAAAACCCTCGCCTGATTGGAGACCCGTGCTCAGCAGTGGGACATATAAATGGGTTGATGATGATAACATTGATTATCATAACTAATTACGAGAATTTGTTTGAAATTCGAGCTCAACAAACACATACCACTAAATTCAACGTTGAATTTGTATGCGCTTTGCTAGGAACTATAGTATATGCAGCAAAACCGTTTTTCAAAGGCACATTAGTTACATTGGCCGGTGCGCCGTCATCCCACAGCCTTTCTACAGTTACATCATCGTTAACGTTGTCCATTATTTTTCCAGATGGGTCTACCACTTCGATCTGTAACGTGATTATTAATATAAAATTAAAAACACCCTGTTTCGGGCATACAGACATATCTAGATATATGTCTGTGGAGTCAGCTGTGGTTCAGTTACACCAAGCATTAATTCTACACATTACGAGTACAATACTGCCCTCTTTGTCGTAAATAACGCATTAGCATTTTGGTAACTTTCGAAATATTGGCAACAACTTATTTTTTCTTTGAAAAATATCAATTACGTTATTAAATAAGATATAAAAAACCACTTATAGGGGGTTGTAAATCACGTTTCGCTGATACCAGATAAGTTAATAACTCAGTTTCGCCAAACATTTCGGTTACGTTATTTATGGTAAGGAAGGTAGAATACAACGCATTTCGAGCCGTTACATCTGCCATGGCGCTGCAGCGCGTCTGGCATATTTGCCTTGAACAGGGTGGACAATTTTTACGCTTTGTTACAAAAGCGTCAATGGTCTTTTACGGAAACTATTTAGTAATAAGTCCAAGAACGAACTTGTGCAAACATTGTTTTCAAGATGCGAGTACTGTAGTTGTTTTAATTATTTTAATAAATTAATTAATTTAATCCTTAATTTTAATCTTTTTTGTATTGTATATAATAATAAGTAACTTGCTTTTTTTTATTACTGCACACCTTAGAATAATAACGCACTACACACATCAAAGGTGTCTACGGGTCAAGCACGTTTTTACAATTACTGAAAACCACGTTTTTTTTAATAACACAAATGATTTATTTTTTGGCCAATTACATTTTCAAATGTAAATTATAAAAATGACTAAAAAATCCATCGGGGTAAAAAAAAAAATTAGTAAATCAGATTTTCATTAACTGCCAAAAATGTGTTCGATTCCTAGACACTTTTGATGTATATTATAATATGAATATCTAATGTAATTGAATTTATGCCTAAATAAATACTTGAAGCATTATTATTAATATACAAGAGGCCAAGTTTTTTCTTTAATGTTTTTGTGTTCAATTTAGTTACCTGCACATTGTATGACAATTCCGGTTTGAAGTGTTCTGGTGCTGTAACCTTTAGTCTATATGGCGTTCGCAGTAGCAGGATACGCGATGACACATTTTGCCTTATTAGCGTATTTTTTTCCTCCAACACAGCTTCGACTACCAGCGGCCTTGCAGCGTCTTCGGCCAGGTCTAGGTCAGTCTTAAGATCGTAAGTCACTTCAACGCCGCCATTGAAGTCGACGACCTTTCGCGCGGGAGATGAGAACACTGGTTGCAGCAGTCCGGAGAAAAACACAGCGTACGCCGACAGAGTTAGTTCACCATGAACTGGTAGACCATTGAAATGCCTATAATATAACATTTCAGTATTAAAATTGAGATTGTAATGAAAAATTAAAATACAGTCAATGCCCCAAGATACCTACCTGACCTGATATGAACCTACCTGAAAATAGGCTTTCAGGTAGGTTCATATCAGGTCAGGTGGTTCTAAGTAGATAAGTGTGAAGAAACGTGTTCAATAAACTTAATCTTTAACACTGGTTAAAGATTAAGTTTATTGAACACGTTATCAGGTTGGTTATCAGGGATCACTGGATCCCTAAAATTAATTTTGATTGACTTCCTTCTTAGATTTCATTAGTGATCAATCGTCATTTGTTGTTATTTTTTGAGATAAAAATACGCATAAATAATTGAAGATTTTTATCTCGTCTAAAAGAACTTAGGTACATTTTGCCTTATTTGTTAGTAATTATCTTTGTTCGTATCGACTTAGCAAACTCGACTGAAATAATGAATACTGACAGCTTTCTCAGAGAAAACATCTTTGTTCGTAGAATCGGTGAGAAATTAGCGATGTTATTTTTTACTTCCCTTTGTCTATTGACTTGGAATTCAATGCAAGTAAATTTCGTTATTTTCTCTTTTCTCAACAGTGTGTGGCGTCAAAGTTAATTTACATAAAAATATAATGTTACAATTACCGTGCGGTGACATTAACTGTAAAACGTCTATCTGAAAACAAAATTTCTTTAGGCATTTTCATTTCCATCTCGAACTTGGGCATCACGTAGTCAGCCACCATAATTTGTCGCGAATACATCTGCCCACGCACCTCCGCCTGTTGATGAATATTATAATTATATACCGATACCGAAGTAAAAAACTATCAAATTAACATTGAGTGGGCGGAAATCCTTAAATGATTGTATTTTATTCGTACAACTAGCGCACAGGTTAACATGTAATTACATAATTGACGTTCTTTAATTTGTTCTAGAGAATGTTATGTAGACATAAATATAGTATATTTTTCGAGGTACTAAGTATTTATTTGGTCTGTGGACTAAAACGATCCAATATACTCCAATCCAACTACTAGACCCAGTTATTATTTAGATTAAGTGCTGATTTTATTTTATATATAAACGCAACAAAACGTAGCGGTCTTTGGCCATCATGAGCGTCTTTCGAACCATATAGGTAGGTACTCTGAAATGATAATACGGCGCCACCAACTATGCGGAAAAGACACGGAAAAATAACCGAGTGTAGTGTAGAGTGTAACGTTTTCGTAATGAAAATGGTCCAAACACGAACACGTTTTGTATTGAATTTACGCAGCGCAGTGATCTCTGTAAAACTGTAGGCTTATTTACTTTGATGTGTTGTTATAATGTTAAATTATAATTGTATTTTTTTTAATTATTTTTAAGTGTTGTTTGTTTTAAGTTACAATGACATTGTTACACTTAGTGAACTTTTACCTTTTGGTACAAACTAGAAAGAAAGAAAGATTTTTCCATAATTATAGGTTCACACCATATTTCTACACAAAACTTGCAATTATAATCAATATTTTCAATATTACGTAATCCCCTATTTTAAATTATTTTAGCGTGTTGCACTGGCTTGTTATTTGCAACCTCTTAAATTTGAAATTTAAATAACTTGTGTTCTAATTTTCAATTACTATTGAATGTCACGATGTTTTACTACCTTTGTTTTCCTTTCATAAAAATGGCGAAGAATAAACAAACATTGCGTTTCAAGTAGAAAAAATATTTCGACAATTTACCGAACCAGTCGCTGTAGATATGGTATGTGTTGACAAATATAAAGGTTTAATATACTCAAAACAATTAACAGTGTATTGTTCGGAATATTTTCTAATCTTCGAATTTATTTTTATTATTTTCGAATAATACGCTGTTTGCTTTCCAGCAATCTCGATTTGCCACACTCACTTGCGGAGTTGTGTAAATCAATGCTTGCTCCTGTGACGTGGAAAGATCATTCAGCCAATATAAAACGTTGTTGCGACCGAACAGTTTTAAATTTTGGAAATTTGGAAAAGCATGTAATTACGTACTGTGACATAATACAGAAGAATAAAAAAAAATTTTTTTTGATAAGCGTGGTGTATTTCTCGACAGTTATTTTATACCTCATTATTTTTATCATATTTTAGGATTTTTACCCATATTATATGTGCTTATTTTGTACTTTATATTGCGAATCTTCGGATAAATTCTTAAACCTCTTAAACTCCATTAATGTGAACTTTAAATTAGGCATAAAAAACAGAATTACTAGAAATAATTATAAGGCAATCTATGACTACACCTTAAATAAGGGTCTAGAAATTATACTGTAAGCTTTAATAGTTAGATATTGCGCTTGAATAGTAAAAAAATATGTCGTCCAAAAACGGAGTTGCGAGGTTTTAAAATTTAGCCGATGTTATCTATCAGAGCCCTAGTAATAACCATGATTAAAGCGGTTTACTTGAATAGTCCATTGGCCTAACGCGGGTTCATCGGCGAGGAGAAGTTCTCGTGTGAGTAACCCGCGGTCTAAGTTCGAAGCGACCCATTGACGTACAGGCGACCCACCGGAATCCAGCACGCTCACATCCACTGCGCCAGTCAGCGGCAACAAGTACCTAAGCAAATGCGCAATCGCTTAGTGAGGTTAACGACCGCACCGTAACCAAACGTAATCTCATACTCACGAACTCCGTGTCGGTGATGGTAAAGAAAACGAAAGTATCTTTCTTTACTGCTATTAGATAGTGCGCGTGACGACTTAATTACGTACGTCAATAATTTTGAAAAATTTGTAATGTACAAAATCTTACTTGTCCAGAGCGATCACTCTAAATTTAATAACATCTCCAGGTTGATACACTCGTTTATCTGTTTGCACGAATATGCAAAAGCTTCGTGGTTGGTAGATCAAGGGCGCCGATGATGAGAATTGTGGGCCTGAAGTCGATCGTGCCATAAGCACATATTGACCAGGGCCAGGGTCTCCGATCTGTACGATGTCATAATTTTTAAGTTAAGCAAGTGCGCAAAGGTTGCGTAACAATGTTACGGAATAATTGTGTTGTTGCTCACATCGAGGTCAATGAGGCGGGAGTTGGCGGTTTGGACTTGCACTTCCCGTCCCTGTGAGAATTGTTCACCGGTGGCGCGGCGTCCCTCCACAGCGATATACAACGTCTGTGGGCGGGACCCTCCAGATACCGCAATGCGATACGATCCGAACGGACGCAGTATCCTCGGTCCCAGTACGGATACGCTACAAATGTGCAAAGTAATCAATTAACGGCTATTTACTAACTCAGTTTACTCGTAGACTAGTGAATCACTGCAGCGAATTGAAAAGAATGATACCTATCCATTCTATTGTTTAAAAATTGATAATAACGTTTCAATCTTTCGCATTGATTAACTAGAAGAAGACAGTACTTTGAGCGTGTTCCATATAAACAAGTTTCAACGTTATGAACCACTGGCCACTGTGTATAACCAGGAGGTCTATCACGAAATTCGAAGCAACGATCGAAGATCGTGATTTGACACTGTATATAAAGTATTTGGGAACACCTTACTCTGAATCGTCAAATGACAACTATCGTATCGAATTTTGGCATTACTTTAATCGTAAAACTGATATGTGTAGTACGTATAGGCTTCGTTGCGGGCGCAGTCAAGTAGTATCGTATTTCGTGGTAGACCTCCGGAATGTTTAATTTGAAAAAAGAATGACTACAATCGTCTTTTAATTTCGTAATATAGCTAGTGATATATATGAATGTTGTTGTCATAATTCAACCTCTTTTTAGCGTTCCTCTATGTGCAAGAGGAGGGTAGGAGAGGAGACGATTTATCAAAAATTTGGACATTAATTAATTATTATTTCGAATGTTATGGAACATTCGAAATAATAATTAATCCCTATTAAAATTTCAATCTATCTATATCAGCCAAATTATTTGAATGAAAATCAAATTACAAAATTCCTAAGACTCAATTTATATTGCGGCGGAACGGAATGGAATCGAATTTTTGTAACGATATTGTACATAGCATAATGAACTTTATGGTCAATTGCCAAAATCCTCCGCGGAATCCTCGAGAATGCTCGCGCATTCCGCGGAAGATTTTGGCTCGTATCTAGTTTGTATGTTAACAGTTGACCATAAAGATCATTATGCCATGTACAATATCGTTACAAAAATTCGCTTCCATGTCGTTCCGCCGCAATATAAATTGAGCCTAATTGATCGGGACTGCTACATAGAAACCTCGTTGATGTCTTTATTACGAATACGGTACTGAAACATAGTTGTAATTATTGCTATTAACTTATGTTTTAAATGAAAATGGAATTGCGTACGTATTTATCCGCAGATATTATTGCATCGTGGTTACCATATATATTTACCAGTTGCCCAGTAATCTAGGTATTCGGAATTTACATTTACCGCGAGTTAACTTGAACAAATGAGTAAAGCAATAAAGAGACCTACGTAATTAATTCATAGAACTTACCACTGTATGACAGACGGTGTGATCAGGACTACAAAAAGGCATTGTAGTATCATTATGAGAGTCATCTTACTGTAATAAAAACAAAATTATGAACTGTTTAAGTCCTTATTCTAAATTTGACATAATTAAGATTTTAATTTAGTTTTAGGATATTACTTCTATGTTTAAACGGTACTTAACACAATCTTATTGAAATTTCGAAACTACTTTTATATTATTTAATATTTACATACATAAAAATATTTATATACTTCACGCTTTTTCTTATCGGGGTAGGCAGAGATAACACACCGTCTCCGTCGTGCCACGAGTGCGGCGCTGCGGATGACACCGCGCAGCACACCCTAGCCGGTGGGATGAGCAGCGCCGCACTCTGACGTGGACTGTAGGGCAGAACCTCTCGCTGCCGAGCGTGGTTGCCGCCATACTCGATAGCGAGGAGTCCTGGGAGGCGGTGGCCTCCTTTTGCGCAGAGGTTATGTCGCAAAAGGAGGCCGTGGAGCGGGTGCGCGAGGATGCAGCGGACGCGCACCCGCTCCGGCGCAGACGTACGGGGAGAAGGCGAAGGCAGTTCGCTGCTCGCCTGATCCCCTAGTGATACCAGCGGGCTCTGGACAGGGAGCCCGCATTGCACGGCCTCACTCGTCTGGGGGGCGGGTCGGAGGACAACCGACTCGCCCCTCCGTTGGCGCGGGAGCCCTGGCGTAAGCTAGGGCGGCCGGACGGCGTCGTAGTGAATGTTCACTGATCCCACGGCGCCGACTCAACCGGCGAGAGGGAAACCCGGGGGGGGGGGGGTTTAGTGGGGTAGGCCTTCCAGTCTGGAGGGAGAGTCCCCACATAACCCCTGAGTCTCCCTGGGCTCAGGGGTATCCATAAAGATTTCCCCCGTCAAAAAAAAAAGGCAGAGATAACACATCTTTCGCCTCATCGACACGCATCAATGCTTAATAATAATAATCCATTTATTTCAGATACATTCATCCATAATATTTGTTAGTAAAGAAAAATACTTAAGCTAGTGTTTCAAATAATAATAATAATGTTATAGCTTTAATACACGCTCGATGGTTAAGGACACTTTTGACCAGAACGACTTCAATTTGGTCATGGTAAGTTCACCATACCAAAACTCACCTCATAAATCTGTTTTGTCAGTCTTCTTTCATTCACTCTTTGATCCATCTAAGCATCCCTTTCTCTTCTCTCTCACTACATTTTCTTTTAATCTCATTACATCTTTGTCACTACATTTCTCCACGCCGCAACACTCTCTAATTACACTGTTCCGTAATTTGTCAAATTCAAATTCAAAATAATCTTTATTTCATAGGTAAGCATTATTTTACACTTGAAATCGTCACAATGGTTAAACTCTACCGCTCATTCGTAAGGCAGATTCCCCTGAGAAGAATGAGCAAGAAACTCTAGGGGTTGCTCTTTGTAAATAACATTTACAATATATTTTTTTTTATTTCAAATACCAGAGATCGAGACTACCTCCATGAGCTAAACGGGTTACTACCACGGATTTTTGTCATCCAAGTACGCAGAACTTGTATAAAGTTTTTGTTTCACTATAGTTTTAAACCTCGTTAAAGGCAAATTTTGTATATCAACCGGAATCTTGTTATAGAAGCGTATACATTGCCCCTTAAATGATTTTTTGACTTTGTGAAGTCGACTATCAAGAAAAGCTAGTTTATTTCTATTCCTCGTATTAATGTTATATCTGTCACTATTTTTCATAAATAAATTATTATTCCTTTTAACATAAATTACATTTTCATAAATGTACTGTGAGGCTAGTGTAAGAATGTTAATTTCCTTAAACTTATCTCTCAAAGATACTTTGGGGCCTAGATTGTAAATTGCCCTAACTGCACGTTTCTACAGGACAAAAATTCTATTGATATCGGCGGCATTACCCCAAAGCAAAATGCCGTATGTCATTAGACTGTGAAAGTAGCTGAAGTAAACCAATCTAGCGGTTTCGACGTCTGAAAGTTTCCTTATTTTTTTAATCGCGTACACTGCAGAGCCGAGCCGTTTTGATAGCTTACTTATATGGGGACCCCATTGCAATTTAGCATCTAACGTTATACCTAGAAATACAACTGTATCCACAAGATTAAATTTTTCGTTTCTAACTACAATGTTTGTAACCGTCTCTCTAACATTGGGTAATGTAAATTTCACACAATTTGTTTTTTTCTCATTAAGAAGTAGGTTATTAACAGCAAACCAATCAACTACTTTAGATATAGCATTGTTCACATCGTCGTAGGAACATTGGTGCCTTTTAACTTTAAATAATAAGGAAGTATCATCAGCAAACAATACTATCTCATGTTTTATACCCTCCATAAGGCTAGGTAAGTCATTAATATAAACTAAAAATAAAAATGGGCCTAGAATTGAACCTTGAGGGACACCCATGCTAATTGCAGCTCCTGATGATCTCGTACCGTTAACATCGACCCTCTGTACCCTACCACGCAAATACGATTTAAGAAGGTCGAGATCACGTCCCGCCACACCATAATGGTGAAGTTTCCTGACCAGTGTATCATGGTGCACATAATCAAAAGCTTTGGAAAAGTCACAGAATACACCAATAGCATCATGTGAGACTTCCCATGCATCAAATATATGATTAATCAACTCGACACCAGCATCGGTTGTAGAGCGACCCCGAGTGAAACCAAATTGTCCATCAGATTCACTCCAGCCATACTTCTCAAAACTCTCATTTCTACTGCATTAATTCTACTTTTGTGCTTCTTCTGCTAAACCTAACATTCACTACCATACATAAGTGTAGGAACCAGCACTCCATGGAAGCCAGTTGTGCCTTTTTAGACACTTTCCAGCTGCTTTATTTAATATTCATTACAAAAATATAAATGTTTCCAAAAATCAGGCAATAAGATCAAATATATTTAGATAGATGTAAAAGACATATTAAATATAAAAAGTTTCTTTACTCAGTTATAAAAAAAAATACACAAAGTTTTATCAAGACTCAATGTTATTATTGCAAGTTTGCGAAAAGGTTTTGAATAGTTACGCAACTTACTCCTCTATCTACAGATGTTGACGTTACCACATAAGGCTCCTTTAACTGCCTTCCAAGAGTCGATTAATATGGCAAACGTTAATATTATAAACAACTAATGTGTATGGACGCCATTGTTAAATTCAAAGGTGTTTTTAACTTTATCTTGAATAAATATTATGAAGAGTGCAATAATATTTTACTAATTTAGCAATTGTTATAAGGAAGAAAGAAAGTACGTATTTACACACATCAAAATGTCTAGGGATCAAGCACTCTTTAGATAATAGTTTCCCAAAGTGGTCCCTAACATCCCCCAGTGCTCGCTGAAGAATTCTAGGGGGGCAGTATGGGCTTCGGAAACAATTGGGGGCATTGACGCTGTCCAGAAAAAAAAACTAAATTGTCTATATAGTATATAAACTATACTACATATATATAACTTTTTTATTGTGATTTTTGTGCTAAGTGAATATAAAAAAAGTGTTTTCAATTATTTTTTAGTGGTGGGCGTTGAAATTTTTTCATCTTGGCTTAGTGGGCGGTGAGCCAAAATGTTTGGGAACCTATGCTTTAGATAATCAGGTTTTTTAATGAAAGACAGAAATCAGGTTTTTTAATGATTTTTTAACAACAACGGATTTCTTTTTGGTCAATTTCATTTTCAAATTCAAATTATAAAAATACATCGGTGTTAAAAAAACGTGATTTTCGGTAATTGGCAAAAACGTGCTTGATCCCTAAATCCATTAATTGATACGTGTTTAGCCCACTTTTTATGTGTGTATATACAAGTTTTTTACTTTTGTATACTATTATTAAATCTAGCTTTGTTTACCTACTAGTCATGCATTACAGATTTAATAAATAGTGTTGTTACATTACATATTATTGTCGTGGGTGTATCATTATGTATAGAATTCACATGTTTGTCGTATTGGCTCACTGTCCTTGTGTCCCAGCTAGTCTGACTCACTGTGTCAACATTCAGCGTTGGCGGAACAGCCTTTTTCGCTCGCTAAGGAAAATAAACTTTAATTTCTTCCGAGAAATAGCTAAAGCTTTCATACTAAAGCAATTGGATTTAGTACAATGGGAGAAATAATAGGCTTTGGATAGTGAACTTTCTCTAGGCACGCAAGGCGTGTTTACTACTTTTGGGCATAACATAACAATCGGTGAGATCGTGACTTGGATCAGACAATGTTCTACAAAGACAGTAAAATAAAACATTTGTTTACGTAGTTATTTCCATACGAGCACAGTAGCGAATGTAGGACATTATTTAAAGTAAATACATCAAATACAACAAACGTTTGTAAGTTTTTATAAACACTTAGTTGCAAAAGTTATGTTCTTGTTCTAAATCCTTTGATGTCCTCACCTGTTGAAATACGATAGACACTTCACTTACACTTAAAATTACTGTAACTTAACACTATATCACAGCTCCTTTCAAGCAGGCGCACATAGTAAGTGCACGAAGCGGCGTCGAAGTGGAGCGCACGAAGTCGGCGCAAGTTGCACTGGAACTGAGTCAACGAGTGTCGCGGCGCCTACGCATACCGCAGGTGGGGCGCCGAGAAGCCTTGCGAAAATCCGCAGCGTCGACCATGCCTACTGTACCCACCTACATCCATACAAAACTCCAATCCGATACAGGAAGTCTTGTACACTAATTACGCAAGCGCCCTTCAATTTCTTTAATTGTTTCGAAATTTGCTTTCCGTATAAGATTATATATTGCCTTAAACTGCTGAAAATATAACATTCATTTTATTATTGCGAAATGCGTCTAGATTTAAACTCAGTAATTACATCAAACGACAGGCGGTCTGGCTTGTGGTGCCAAACTTGTTGTTTATGTAATCAAAACTCGTTAAGTGTTTAGAGTTACTGAGGGTATTTTTCGCATAAACTGGTCGTGTATCTCCATGTACATTACAGACGCAATAGTCGATGTTGTCTCATTGTGGCGGCAACGCGAGGCGAATCCTGTAATGCATTCCTAGGAACGTGTTTTAGCACAATGCGATACAAGGGCCCCAGCGCTTTACTCAATGACCTGCTGCCGGTGTCACTAAACTCTACGTTGCACTTAGATTCTGTATTGTAACTTACTGTAGTGCATTTTTGTATATATACTACGTGTAAGTAGGTCTATCTTTTCATGACAACAAAAGCCTACATATTATACATATTTCTTCTTCTTCTTCTTTTAAATGTTATGGCCCCATCGAAATAATCAATGATTTTGCCAATGTCAAATAAAAATAACTATGTACGGTAGTTTAGTATTATTATAAAAATTATACAAAAAAAATGGCGATTTCGCCAATGTCCTGTGATCCCTATTATATGCAATGCCCTGTGCAGTCTGTCACATTTGATAGAAATGTTGAAAAAATATAAAATGCTTAAAACAGGTTATTTAGTAAAAAAGATCGCATCAAAACTGCGTTGCAACCATTGACTTATGGTTGCAACACGAAATTTAGACATGCAATTCGAAAATCAAAACCTGTTTTTCGGAATACAAAAAAGCTAAGCGAATACACGTCGTCGTTTCTCCCACGTTATTGTTTTGCTATCGGCCATTGTTGCGTGCTTGTGATGTGACGGATATTTTGAACGATGACGTTATTCCGTTATGACAAAGACGATGATCAAACATAGATTCGAAGTACACTAGCAAAATTCTACAACTGAAAGAAGCTGTACATTTTACCTGTAGTCGATTGGAAAAGGAAATATAAAATAAAGACGATTCGAATGAAATGGCATTTCTTGGATATTTTCATTTAATTAGCTATTTATGGCCGTCTGGTCTACCGTTAAACTAATAACTTCGTGGCCGGTCGGTTACCATGGCGGACTGCCATGCAGAAGTCCCGGTTTCGATTCGAGAAATATTTGAATGGCCTACATTTATTTCTCTCGTGAGTTTGGGTGTAATTGTTTTTTATTATTTGTAGTTGTCTATGTGTGTGTCCATGGCATCAGCGATACAGGGTTTCCCTAGTGCGGGGTTATGAGTGTGTGCGTCATTATTAGATATTATTATTAAACACAGGCTTCCCGCTCGGGAATGCATGTTTATAGGTTAATGCGCGGACCACACCGCGAACGAAGCTAAACTACTAACTAAAATATGTCGCCCTTCTGCCGCCCTACAACTGCTTAGTCACTACTTACTGCATATTTTTAACCGACTTAACAAATGGAGAAGGTTGTCAATTAGACTGTTTTTTTTTGTATGTATGTTACGCGATAACTCATTTGCATTTGGCATTTGTGAATCGATTTTGATTATTCTTTTTTGTTGGAAAGAGGGTGCCTCAGTAGTGTTTTCATTTAAATTTGAAGAACATATTCCACCTCTAAGGGTGGCAAACTAGGGGATGAATCCGGTTTCGTGCACTTTACGGTAACCGATTTCAATAAAACTTGACAAATAGATGTAATTCCACGAACTTTTGAGGTCGGTTTTTTAAGTACTTTGTACTGAAATTAAATTAGTTTAGCTTTGCATGCTAACTAAGCTTAGTTGGCATAGTTGGGTGCATGCAACTACGTGACCGTAGCTAAATTAGCTAGCTTCGTCCGCGGTGTGCCCTGCGCTTAATAGTCCCTCTACGGCGGCCCTTGCATTGTGGTTACTGACACTATTATCATTAACTGAACGGGAATCATGGACAAACAAAAAATAGAGGTGTTACCCAAACGTGTTTTTAAATTTTATTAATTACTTATTGAATTTAAAAATATTCCTGCATGTCTTTAACTACAAATTGGATTTTAATTGTATTCACCAAGAAAGGAATCTATGGGACATACGTTCGTAAAAAGATCAGTTGATGGACGAGGTGAAGCTGGTAAGAGCGTGGTATCATTATCAGCGGTATGGAGCTGAGCGGCCAGAGCCGCGTTGTCAGCAAGAGCTGACGCCAGGGCTCGCTCTAAACGTGTTGCACCAGCTCGTTCCGCCTCAAGTGCGGCTCGGCATTCTATCAACGCTTCTTCATTAGGGTCTTTTGTCTTCAAATTTAATGTGCTACTTGAGTTCGTCACACGGCATTGCAAATCCGCTACTAAAGCTCCAAGCTTTGTTGCTTCCGCTGTAAAAAGCACTTAACTATAGATGTACAAATACCATGGGGTAATAAACCATCCGTGGGTTGCAATAGCACATTGTGTATTAAGGATGGTAAATAAGAAATTACTAACGAGAGTCTATTAGAAGCCCGAAACCGAAGGCTGAGGGCTTTAATAACTGATTTTTGTATTTTTTTACTGTCCGTGACACATACAATGTTTCTCATCACTTGTACGAGGAAATGAGTACAATGTTTATTTCTTGTATGAATAAATATGGTTCAGAATACAACAATTATAGATTTTGCAAATCTTTGTTTTTTTTAACGCGAACTAAAATGTTGAAAAACATAACCCTCCTTCTGAAGAAGTCGGGTAAAAAGCAAAGACGTATACAGCCATGATCAATCTTAAAGAAAATTTGCTAAATTTTATACAGAAAATGATTAAAATTAGTTATAACAAATTCTTAATAATAAGTATTTAAGTAGTATGTGTCTGAATTGCAATTAAATTTCTGTTTACATAACATTTTATGCAAATGTTTTAATTTTGAACTTAAGTAACCTCCTTGCTTGAACTTGAACCTGACCTATGTAAAGCATGTCGTGCTACAAATAAAAAAAACTGCTTATTGACCATGGCTGGAATGGGGCAAAATTATTTGGGACCATGCAATTAACCATTAACGAGCAAGTGTGATGAGAAGTACCTTTAGCATTATGTAATTCATGTGTAGCATGCTGCAGTTCAGCGGCCGCCAAGCGTCTCTCGCGCACGAGTGCCGCTGCCGCCAATCGTGCTCGGTTCCTTATTTCCATTCCAGCACTTGCACATTTTTCTACTCTTCGAAGCTCGTCTTCTAAACGAGATGCTTCCCTGTGAATTTATAGATGGCCCTAATTCCCGTTTAAGTTAAACTTACCCAGTTTACTTAGTACAGCCGATGCCCTAAGATATCTGACCTGACATTTATCTACATTTATGTATTGTGATTAAACATTAAATTGGCTTAAAACGTTACGTAAAACGTTATTCACTAACGATGCTATAAGGAAGTCACATCTAAATGAATTTTACGGCTTACAGGTTAAATGTTAAGGTCCTTTAAAACCTTTCTTCACACTGATCTGCTCAGAACCAAGTAGTCTGTTAGTGAGGTATCTTAAGGAATGGATTGTACATTTTTATCGTGATGTTTTCCATTTAGGGAGTCACCAAACTTATTAATACAGAATCGTCTTGATGCGTTAGACACACTTGTCGCATTAAGCCGATTCGCCGTTGACGCGCCAGTTGGTTCTAAGCTGGATGCTGTCGTCGGCATGCGTACGAACGCGATCGGAAATTTGCAGGAAACAGGTTCGTAGCCGACCTGTGTCGAGACATATACGTTTGGGTCAATGATGACCTATTCTTGAAAAGAGGAGAGTTATAAGTTTGAAACCTTTTTAAATGTCTGTCTCTCTTTAGTGCCGTAGCTGTTAACAGCGTTTGTTACGGTTGGACTGATTTTAAAGCGGTTTTTTTTAATTTAAATGGTTATGGCCTAATTTTAATGGTTGGTAGCTATGTTTAATGAACATCGGTTCAGGTTTTCAAAGATCAAAGGCTCTTTTATATCAGTTAGTTTAGGGATCTCAGTCATAAGATGCATATTTCGTTTATTTCCTCTTGTCCGATCGTCTTGAAATTTGGTATACTATTTAAATTCGATGCTCTTACTATAATAAGGTAACCTTGATCTAATGCTGCAACCAGAGGCTGCATATTACCTAACTCCTTAACAACTTACGCTAAGAACTCACGGAGCGATTTTCACCCGCCCCGCCCTGGTCGCGGGACCGCAGTCTCCGTAGAATTTAGATATGTACCTATGTAAAATTTAGTAGCACATTTCGTGTCGTGATTATTGAAATAAATCGCCGTGGCGGCGATCTCGGTTGGAAACCACTCCGTGAGCTCCTTAGCCTTACAGACTTTATTGACACTGTTTTGTGTTAGGCGTTTACTAAATTTTAATGTTTGTAAAGTTTTTTACAAATGTACGTAAAGAACCTTCGAGCTTCGCATACAGCATTTTGTGTTTTCTCTTGTAGCTCTACGTATTGGCGCTGAATTTTCTCTTGCGTACTCTGTAGGGGTCTTAACTTGTGTACTTCCCTTTGCAATTCTTCCCTTTCTGTAGACATTCCAGAACATTTTTCTTCCAGAATTATTCTGTGACGCTCCTGTTTTTGCAAATAAGTGCTTGATATAGGTAAACCTATTTAACGTTTTTATGTTTATTAAAACGAACAGACTGCGAAACAAGTTCGATTTACATGTCACCTTGAATGCTTTTTATATTTATATTGCGATTATTGAACATTGGAGATCATATGTAAATGAAAAGTCTAAGTACCTCCTTCACGGCTATAAGCGAAGATGCTTCTAAATAGCTGTAACTTATTCTATTGTGTACTCGTATCTGTAGCTTATTCAGAGAGGAAGAATCTAAAATGCGAAAGAATACGGCTAGTTCAAACTGCATCTTCGTGGCAGCCAGTTCATCCAGCACTTTGGTGAGTGTTGCTGCAGCTTGTGCAGCGCCAGAAGCGGCGGCAGCGGCGTTGCCGCAGGCTTCGACCTTTAGTCGCAACGCTGCGTCGCGTTCGGCCTCCGCCACCTCCGCCCGTGTTGCTTCGGCTCGCAACGCCTCACGGAGGTGATGCTCGGATGACTGACGAAAAATAATGTACAGCTTACTCAACAGCTTACTCAACTTTACACTTTCGATATCGGACCATTCTTATCATAACTCACATAAATTTATATATGATGTATAAAGCAAAGCTGGCTGTTGTCTGTACAAATACAAAGGTTACGTAACCACGATTTTATATAAATCAAAATTGGTAAGTTCATTAAATTTTTCACACTAATTCTCCGTATAAAATATTTTGTAAGTATTAAATAAAATTCAGTTAACAAATTCAAACCGAAGCCTTGACAATAAGATAGTGTGTAATTAATTCAAAGTTAATGTTGTTTGAGCAGGTTTGTGTGTAAGTATGTCACTTTGAAACAAGAAAGTGAGAATATGTTGTTTTTCCTTACACTTATTGTTTGAAATTCTCGAATGAGTTCCAGACACTGTTGTTCAAAGGTTTCAAACTCCGTTGCAACACCCATTTTAACTTATGGTATAATATAAATACACAAAGTAATAGGTACTCGGATTACACTCTACTTTTTATTAAAATTATAGAAAACGCGGGAAAATATGTACGTTTATTTATTAGGCTTAGGAATCCAATTATTCAGTCAGTCAAAATAAAAACAAATGAGGTAACGGAAAAATATTTATGCAAAGAGTACTCTACAAAATCAAGAGGTCAATCTAATAATGCAAATAAAATTAGAATTTCTAGTTACTGCAGAACCAATTTGCGTAGGTTTAGAATAATTGAGATGTGTCAATTATGTTCACATTTTCACGATGCCAAGAACAAAGGTGCCAGAGGAATATTAAAGCAGGGGGAGAGTTGTTTTGCACAGGGCGCGATTGGCTATATAAAGGCTTGTTTAACCTCAGTAGCACATTCTATCGACAGACTTCCTGAGGGATACGGTAAGTCAAAGAGTTTAATTTAATAAAGCTAATTTCGTCGGCATTCTTTTTTATTCTCATTGACCTGCAAGTAATTACTTTCATTTCGAGTTTAAGCCTAATGCGCTTTTTTTTTTTCAAATCATACTCACTTATTTCCAACCTATAATGCACTCTACGTTCTTGTCAATTCACACGCAGGAATTCACACTGTGGACGGTCTTATTGTAAGTGGAAAAGAGGTAATTTTATATCCAGATTGAAATTATGACGTGCTGTTGTCCTTACCTAAGTAAATCTATCTATAATCGTAAATCATGACAAGTACCTATATAAATAGAAACTTATAAAAACTGGTAGAAACCAGCAGTCCCGCGTCACAGGTTTCTTTTAATTTGTAGCTTCTGTATTAAGTTCCATTAGTAGCAGTAGAGCTCTTTGTGAAAAGCCTTACCTTACCTATTTCTGCCGCCAAGTAGTAATGATAGCTTTACTGTGTTTCGGTTTTGAAAGGTAAGGGTGCTGTTGAAATTACAGGCACATGCGACTTGTCAACATATCGTTTCAGGGTGTAGGGCGCAGTGGCAGTACCCCTCAGATCTTTGCAATTTAAAACTCTGAGACACACTATAACTGTCATGGATACCACTTACCACCATGCCTATGATTTATTCGTTTATTTGTCATGTCGCTTGTACTCATTAAAAAAAGTTGTTTTTAAATATTCGTCTTTGAGCAAGTTTGAGATTTAGTGTATTTGTTAATTTTAATGTATTCTGAATCTTACATTGCATTGCATTACATTCTGAGTCTTACATTGTCGAATGAAATTTATTGTTTGTTATTGTTGTGGTTGCAAGGGTTCGCTTGCATTCCATTCCACGGCAATGTAAATTGATCCATATGGGCTATGGCAGAATATAAGCGAGGGCTCCAAGTGGATGACTGTTGTCTCTGCCCGATGCGAATAACGCGTATAAAAGTATGAATGTATCTATAATTTATTGTTGTTGACACAGACCATTAAACATGTTTATTTTATTACTAATTTATATTTCCCTTTTCTATTATATTGCTCGTTAAAAAAGCAGTATTGATTTATTAACTTTCTTTTGTCGTAACTAGTTGCTTCCGGGGCGGTACAATGCGCGGCTTCACGATGATAGCGTTGGTGTGGACTCTTGCACTGCTGGTGTTAGTTCGGTGCGGAAATGGCGCCAGTTTATATCACATGGCCGAGGATGGCGAAGACATTAGGCCCCGTCTCTCATGTAGAGACTATGGCCTGTACCACAGAAACGCGCGCGCCGACGATGCCTTTGATGACTATGGACACTTGCGCTTTGGCCGCTCTGATGACTGACGATCAACCATCAAGAACAGACGTATATCTTCACAAACTCGGCTAAGCGACCATGTGTCACCACGCAAGTACAAGTAATAATGTAAATATATTTTATACTTCAGTAATTTTATGTACACGAGATAGAACAGTATTTGAATGAAATTGTGTGTGAAGTATTAGTGGCTGGTATAATATTTCACATTAAAAATTGTATTCACGTGATAAAAGTGTAATAATATTAAATTAACGTTTAGCTGAATACTCAAGGCCTTTCATTTTTAACCAACTTGAAAGAAAAGAAGAAAGAGAAAGAGGTTCTCAATTCGACAATATTTCGACATTTGTGAACTTATTTCGATGATACTTTTTTGTCGGAAAGGGGGTACCTCAGTAGTGGCCCCATTTAAATTTGAAGAAAATATTCCACCTCTAAGGGTGTCAAATTAGAAGATGAATCCGGATTGATTTCACCCACTTTTCGATAAGTGATTTCAATAAAACTTGACAAACAGATAGAAGATTCCACAAACTTTGAGGTCGATTTTTTTATAAAAAAAATTATAATTTCTTTGTTACTAAAGATAATATGTAATACACTAATATTACAGGACGACAATTAAAAATACATTAGGTATTATTCGTCAATATTTTAATGAATAATATAACCAATAAATACATTTGACAACAGTTATTTATTGCAATAAATTGTTACATTTTACATTAATTTTATCTTAAACTGGGTACCATAATTATTTAATTTTTAAATGTAAATACCTACTTAATTTTAGATCACTGTTAAGGCATTTTTTCTATGGCTTATAACCGTGTCATTAACTAATATATTAAAATATAATATTCAACTTTTGCCGTTATATTATAATCAAATAACATAATTTCATTTCACAATAGTAACACTTTCTAACGTTCTTTAAGGCAATGTTTTTTATGTTGCAATTTGTCATTGAGGACGGAAGCTAAATAGAGTGTACAATTTAGTTGTGCCCAATAGAACGGGCACAACCAAACTAATTTTATAAATGCGTAAGTAACTCTGTACGCAAGCCTATACCGCTCCTAGAAATAGATGAGTCCTAGGAGAAGGACATAGGCTTCATTACACAAATAAATCTTAAAGGGGGTGAAATAGGGGATACAAGATTGTAGTAGGCTACACGAAGTATTTATTCTACGCAGACGAAGACGCGGGCACTTAGAAAACCCTAATTAATAGATCACAAATAACCGATATTTGTTTCGCACACATAGTTTCGGTAATGCATATAATTTGCACGCCTCGTGGAGGAATGGTATAAATGGAGTTATGTCAAAAATGTTTATTGCTCCATTAGATACAGAAAAATATAACCCACATCCTCTCCAATTCTTGTAACTCTGTCTACAATATTAGTCGATAGATTTACAAGAATTGGAGAGGATGTGAGTTATATTTTTCTGTATCTAATGGAGCAATAAACGTTTTTGACGTAACTCTACTTATGCCATTCTTCTATGGGGGGTGCGAATGAGTAAAGTCGGATTTATAGTCATTGAGTACAGCTGCATTTTTAAATGAACTTTTAACTTAATGCATTTTTAGTTTATAGACCTGTACGCTCTCCGTCTACAATAAATTTTAAATTAGTGCGAGAATATCGAATAGTATCATTGTGATTTGTAATATTTTCTCTACTATAGGTAGCCGCAAATCTAAGCAAAATTTTATTCGTATTGTATTATTAGTCATATATTTCGTTGTATTGGTTATACGGATGAATGCGGACAAAGAATGCAGATCGAGATGTTGGATTATGAATTGATATTACAATTACTTATTTCTCATTTCTTTCATGACATGGCCATGCTATGTCGATTATGTGCAATAAAATAACTTTACAGAAAACTATTACTATCTCTTTCGTTTCCTTTCATTTGAAAATAGCAAATTGCAATTCTGTCTGTCAATTAGTTTTAGTAAAATGCACATTAAAACGGCACCTGGTTTGCTTACCGTCCATAAAAATAATCATATTAGGCACACGTCATATCACTACACTATGATTAAATTAATCATGAGACTAGTTAGTTTTTTCTTATCCTAATGTATTAATAATATTTATACCTACGGAGAACTTTAACACACGAATGGTTATTAATTGTACTTGGTCAAAATGAAGCGTATTTGAAAGAATATCTTTGAATTTGTAGAACTCCTAATAACCAATGCCATTACTGGTGATTCTACGCAAAATTTTGAAACCAAATTAATATAAGTAATCATTCTTACAGTTTTCGTCATTTTAAAATAACTAAATAGAAAAATTTAATAGATTTAGAAATCTACGAATCGAATTGACACCGATGTGTTAAAACTTTATGAATGATTTATCCATACAATTTAACTTCACTAAAGAAATTAAATGTTTTGCGAATGATAAGAATGTCTGCGACCAAATTACCGTGTTTTACACTTTTGCATAAATTGAGTATTTGATATTGTAAAGTAGTTTTTCATTAGTGTCACTTCATCACTTTGCTTTGTGTCTCAAATGATGTCTCTCTTCTGTGTGTTTCCCAGTAGAGCCTGCAAAATCAAATTTTAATAAGATCTAAATTATAATACACTTGTCAACTTCAGTAATGTAATTACTAATTATTGTCATAAAATAACTGATGCACCTTAGAAATATGTGAAGAGCTTAAGATGAGAAATGAAACTATTTTTTATTTAGTTTCATTTTATTTTTCCGGATTTAAACCGCGTATATTTGTTTTTTCAAACAAACCGACGTTTCGGGCCCTTTACAGGTCCCATGGTCACGGTTGACAGTCAACCGTACTGTGCCTCTACCACGAGATTACAGTGACAGTTATCGCTAGCGACCGCGTAAAATTTTTGTGTACAAAATTTGTTGCTTCTTGTAACCGCTAAGGACGCTGTATAATTTGCCGTACAAAATTGTGAAGTAATTTACGCGTTTGCTAGCGGCGCAGTAAACTCGTGGTAGAGGCACTTGTCTTATTATACTATAGTATTAGTGACGCCTGTCAAGAATACTGTTATGGCCAATAGTCGGAAAAATGTGTTCATCATATGTAGACATAGCTACAAGGAGCGACATAGAGTTGTTCTTCTTCTTGTCGAGTAAATGCCACAAAGCAGTAGAAATCCTGTGTTATATTTCTTTGTAAATTTCAATGATGCTATATAAAAAATGCAGTACATAATTGACAGCCTTGTTGCCGTTCCATCAATGCTATTATACGTACGGAACGCGGTGCGGTATCTAAAGCTAGGGATAGTGACCGTGAATAGGGCGGATAGTGACCATTCTCGTTACATTTTATTCTCTGCTTTGGTAAAAGGTCAGTTATCCGCATTTTTTACATGACACCATTAGAATTACTTTAAAATCCAACTTCGACTTTCTAGGTCAGTAGTTTTGTCTTAAGATGCAGTACAACCTCCGAACATCTCCGGAAATTCGGTATTCGAAAAATTAATCAATTAATATTTGGTGGTTTTAACAAGTATGTCGCTCCTTGTAGCTATATTTAAACATGTATCCATATATATGGAACACTTTTTTCCGACTAATGGTTATGGCAAATAATCTAACGTTCATAGGGTGATGGCACTAATGATCGACATTTTAAAGGAAGTGTGTCTTTAAACTTGAAATAAACTTTTTGTTTTTGAACATGCAGGGCTATTATTAAAATACTAACAACCTCGCAGGACTATATGACTAATATAAACAACAACTTTTGTTACAAAACATAATAAATTTACCAAAAATAAACTTTTAAGTTTTTGTTGTATTTGAGACTTTTTAGATCTGTATTTGGTAGAATAAGTTTAAACGTGCAAGCGTCCTCCGCGACGACTCCCACCCCCGTCCTACATAGAATTATTACTAGCGATGGGCGAGTCGAGTTATTTAACTCAGTTAGCTCGAGTTACTCCAAAACGAGTCAACTCGAGTAACTTTTTCATGAACTCGAGCTAACTCGGTTGATCCGCCCCGCCCACCGCCGAACCGAATACTTCATTCAAACAGTGCGCCGGTGACCTTCAGTGCACGCTCAAGTCGCGAGCAATGGGCGAGTCGAGTTATTTAACTCGAGTTACTCCCACAACGAATCAACTCGAGCTACATTTTGTGAACTCGAGGTAGCTCGGTTCGGTTCCCGCCGAATCGAATACTTTATTCATACTGCGCGTCGGCAATTCGTTCTCACTCGGTCGGTTCGGCGACCTTCGGAGCACGCTCGAGTCGCGGTCGGCCGGCCGATCGTGTCCAACTCGGGGAATCGTTGGTTCGAGTTCTACTCGCGACTCGCGGTAGCACACACCGAGTCGAGTTAACTCGAGTAACTCGTGTTGAAACAAATACAACTCGTCCCATCGCTAATTGTTACCGTTTAAAGCGATCTATTTAAATCTATTAATTTTTGTATGAAAGTACTCGTAAAACTTGATGAATTATTAAAAGTCATGGAACAAAAGTTGTTGTTTGTTATGTTAGTAATATAGTCTCGTGTGTTAGTATTTCAAAAATAACCCTATATATCAATAGTGAGAAGTTTATTTGATAGATATAATCCTCAAGAAAGATTATGCTGTAGTATGTTTCAAAAAAAGCTATTATAATTACTACTAAAAAAACCTAAACTAGAATTTCTCTAAATCTCCAGTAATCGACAATTTCCTAATTAATTAACCAGTAATCGACATTCACCAATAATAAGATGGATAGTCATCATCCAGTAATTGACATACAATTGGTAAGTACCAATAAGAAACGTGTTACTGTTATTGAAAATTTTTATTCTAAATCTTATTAAAATTCATTTGAAGAATGACGTCGAAAGATTGTCGGCCACTGGCGTCTACGCACTACCTTACCTTGTTGACAAAATTGACGATGGCAGTGGCGGGCTGCTCGGGCTCCAGCTCGGCGAATACGTGACACTGGTTATCCGCACCTTGCGACGCTCGCGCCACGAATGCAAAAATGCGCCTGCGCAATTAGTAAAAAAAATATTTTTACCTATTATGAAATGCATTATCAATTTTGTTTACTTATTTATTTTATTAAATGGGTAATTTTTAGTTTATTTTTCTCTACCTAATTTCGATGGCAACTTTTATTATTTAAATATTCCAGAATATTACAATGTAGTAGATATTGCTTAACATTCGAGTGAAATATTATTTATTTAATATTTCAGGTAAATATACTTCAATACTTAAATAATAAAAATTGTCATCGAAATTACGTAGAGAAAACTAGCCTGAAAATTACCTCAATTTCACTTTGTCTATGATAGTATCTAATTTGTCAGTTACATTTTATACCGACTTAAAACCTTAGTTATCTATCGTATCGTATGTTAGTTCCGTTCGAGGATTTTTTTATAATATCAAGTGACGAGACGAACAAGTCGTGCGCTTGATGGTAAGCCTGCAGTGCCACTCAGAGCTTTAAATCGCAAAATTCTTTCGATGCGGCTGGATTTGAATCGCCAACATTTTCGCCTAACGAGGGCTATCGCTCTCCCACCTGAGCTACGGAACAAGGCAGCAAACCTTACCAATTTCTCTATGTGCTTGCACATGGAACGAGTCAGCATCATAAGCAGAGTCTTCAAATCCTAAGATCTGCTGACTCGTTCCATAGCTCAGTTGGGAGAGCGATAGTCTGGGTTATGCGAAAGTGTCGCTGGTTCAAGTCAAGCCGTTTTTTAGTAGCAGTAGAACTCCTTGTGCGAGTTCGTCCAGGGAAGTACTGTCACCTTACCTATTTCTGCCGCCAAGCAGTAATGTGAGCATTATTGCGTTCCGGTTTGGAAGGTGCTGGTGAAATACAGGCACATGGGACTTGGCAAATGTATCAGGGTGACGGGCGCAGTGGCAGTGCCCGTCAAATCTTCGCGATAAAAAGCTCTAAGTGGCACTGCAACTACTATGGACAGGCTTGTCGCTTACCTCCCGGCGCACGACTTGTTCGCCCCCTCGCTTAGTATCACAAAAAAAACCGGATCGAAAAAAAATTTGTTTGAGTTTGTTCGACCTTTTTATTAATTTTATTAAAACTTTTTGTCTGCCAAGTCGGATATTGTAGTATTTGTTAATTCGCTTTTGGATATCAAAAGGTTCTACTAACTTTTCTGTCTGTGTTCCATTATCGATGTAGACGTAGCGGCGTTCATCAGGGTCGATGCCGGCGTGAGATACGCCGCTAGCAGGATAGTGCCGTCGGAAAAACAGCTTTCGCGCAGAATCGGTCAGCGTTATGCCACCGCCGAATACTTTGAAGTGGACTACATGTGCTGGAGCCTGGAACATTGACTTTTAATTTAGAAACTGATATTTAACGTCGTTTTTTAATTTTTTTCTTCTATAAATAGTACCAACTATCAAGGTTCGTTAACCGTTGTTCGGAGACCAAAAATCAGTATTTATATTAATAGCACCTGATGTTTGTTTTGAAGCATTTTTTGATCACAATATCTTATCACTTTGCAAAGAGTTTGAAATACAATGGTCTTATTTTATTCTTAAAAACGTACACTTATAGTTTATATTGGTTTAAAAATAAAAACCTGGAACTAAGTACCTATATATGGCGACCTCCGTAATCGCGTGGCTTTCACACCGGTTTTCATGGTGTTGCCCGAAGAGATCTGAGATCCCGGGTTCGATCCCCGGCCGGGTCAATACAGTAAAACTAATTTTTCTATATTGTTTCGGATCTGGATGTTTGTGGTAGCGTCGTTGTTTCCGATTTCCATAACACAAGCCTTTAGTTACTTTGAGATCAAAGCAACGTATATTTTTATATGTATGACACACAAGAGACAGGTCTTTTGACAGTACGGGTACTAAAATTCGTAGTGTGCTCAAAGGCTTACCTTTTTCTTTAAGACGTTGTGCACAGCTCTTTTAACAGCCGCCGGTCCAGTAAGGGCTTCTGTGTTCTCGCAGCCTAAAAGCAGCACGTGGCATGCCGCGCCCGTTGCAAGCAACGTCCGTGCCGCCGCGTTCGCACTGCCTCCCGGCCACGGATCTCTGATAATACAAGTAGTAGTTTTGTTACGCCAAGCATACAGAAAAAAGAAGTAAAGAAATAATCAGACGATAGAAAGGCAAACTATAGAACGCGGTTTATAAAGGTTTGTTCTTTAGTCTTACTTGTCAGGCAATCGCAGGGGCAGCGGTAATGCGAGTGGCGTGACGGTATGTTGGTAGACAAGAGCCGAGAGCGAGGTAAAGACGGGCTCGTCGGGACAGCCGCGCAGGCGCACGCCGCGAGTCGCCGGCTCCACGAGGAAGTGGCGCACGCCATTGCCAGCTCGCACTGCTAGCCCGAACGCGCCCGGGAACGAGTTCGAGTCGCGGACGATGAACGACCCTTCTTCGAGTGGTAGGAGAGCTGACACCGCTAAGAAAACAATGTTTACAATACTTTAATAGTGCAATTACCAATACCACAAGCACCAATTGATCTTTGATTTAATTGAATTAACTGCCTCCGTGGCCGAACGGTTAGGTTAGTTAGTTGGCCACGCAGAGGTCCCAGGTTCGATTCCCGGGCCGGTAGAAATATTTGTATGACCTACATTTATTTCTCTCGTGAGTTTGGGTGTAATTTGTGGTTGTCTATGTGTGCGTCCATGGCATCCGCGACACAGGGTTTCCCTAGTGCGGGGCTATGTTGAGTGTGTGCGTTATTATTATTATTATTATTTATTCAAGTAAAGCTATTAAAAAGAAGTGAGTACAGACCATCGTCTCGCGAGATGTTGGGCTTGTACCAATAGTGCGAGGTGTCCTTGGCGAAGCGCACGCGGTCGGGTGCAACATGTTGCGGCTCGCCGCCAACGCTCGAGCTCCGCGACCCGCAGCTGCCGTTGTAGATACGGTATTCCGACTCGGGGCTGCCTTCGCGCTCTTTTCTGTTAAACAAGATCCCTCGATTATAAAGTAGAAATCAAGTACATATATTATCGTCACGCTTGTCTCCCACCGGGGTAAGCAGAGACTATGAAATTCCATAGTCTCTGCCTGCCTAGCTACTACTAGTGGAATTCCACTTACTACTCTCCTGACAAACCTCCTTCGCCTCCTTCACTCCCATCAATCTCTTCATACATGCCCTTTTATTCTTGGTTCTTTTAACGCCGCCTTTAATAAGGACATCCTCAATCTGAGATACGTGTGGCGCACTATAAGTTTCCGAAATTAATAAGAAGAAAATATTATAAATAGTAAGAAATGAATTTATTGTTTCTCTAAATATTCTGCGTTATCGTTAATGCACTTTTTCATAAGAATGAACCAATTTTGAAAACGTTTATGCCACTCCTCCGTGACAATCTCTGAAACATATTTTTCATACTCTTCGACAGCCTGTTCAGGTGATGAAAATCGTTCTTAAAAAAAAGGGTTCTTAATTTTTGGAAATAAATAATAGTCACAAGGTACTAAGTCGAAACTGTATGCGGGATGGCTCATAAGGTCAACGTTGTTCACCTTCAAAAATTCATTTGTCTGTCTGGCCGTGTGAGAACTGGCATTATCGTGGTGCAAGATGATACGGCGTTTACGGTTATTTTTACGGAGTTTGTCAGTAACGTCCGGCAAACAAATGGTCGTGTACCAATCACTATTCACGGTACAAGGATACTCCAAAGCAACAGTAGCCACGTGTCCAGTTTTATTAAAAAAAGAAGCAGTCATTCGCTTAGCGGTACTTTGCACGCGCGTCACTTTGGTTGGTTTTTGCTCATCTCGAAAGACCCATACACTCAATTGCTGCTTTGTTTTGGGATCGTAACTATAAATCCATGTTTCGTCACCTGTTTCTATATCCCACACCAAATTTGACGCCCCTTTGTTGAATCTAGTAAGCATGGCATTGTACCAAGTGACGCGATCCATTTTTTGAGCCTCAGTCAAATTGTGTGGGATCCACCGAGAGCACAGCTTTTTCACACCCAAATGTTTGTGTAGTATTGATTTTATTTGACTCATGCCTATGCCTAAAGATGCCCGAATCTCATGGTATGTCACATGCCTGTCTGTTTTGGTCATACGGCGCACAGCATCGATGTTTTTGTTGTTGACAGCAGTGGACGGGCGACCATCACGGAATTCGTCACTGAGATTCACACGACCGCGTTTGAATTCTGCAAACCAGCTATAAATAGTCGTCTTCAAAATCAGTTTGAAGTCGAGTAAAGTTCATAGAAAATCATACTACGAAAATTTTCACGAGTTAAATCGATGGTGATGTAGACAACCAATTTCTAAAATGACGCCACAATGTAAAAAAAAGTGTCAGTCAGATTCATCAGTTCAGATCAGTCAGAAATATTGTTTATGTAAGTGGCTAGTTGCGGAAACTTATGGTGCGCCCTATATATGTTCGCCGAGGTCTACCTCTCCCCACACTTCATTCCACATTCGCTCTAAAAATTTGTACCGTCAATCTACCAACATTCATTCTTTCTACATGACCAAACCATCGAATCTATCCTTAACACTACATCATCTGTCATACTCAACTTTGTAATATTACAAGGCAACCGAAACCTGAACCGACAATCTAGTCAAAATGGCTTGGAAAAAATTGTTTTTAGAACAATTAAGTACTCATTGATGTAGCCCCGGTCTGGTAAACAGTTGTTGGTTCGAATCCAGGCGGATGACGGAATTTTTCTTGCGTTTATTCGATCTTTGTAGAAATTTCACAAAAAACATATGAATGCCATTATTAGTAAAAATATTATAATATTGAATAAAATAAATATTGAAATTAAGCATTATGTATGCTTTACACCACCAGTGGCTATTTTTTTATAATACCAAGTGACGGGACGAACCAGTCGTGCACCTCGGTAAGCGACACGCCTATCCATAACAATTGCAGTGCCACTCAGAGCTTAGTGAACAGTTTTGGTGACATTATAGGCACATGGGACTTGTCAACTTATGTCTCAGAGTGACGGGCGCAGTGGCAATGCTCCTCAAATCTTTGCGATTTAAATCTCTGCGTCGCACTGCAACTGTTACGGATATGCGTGTGGGTTATCACCAAGTGCATGACTTGGTCACTTAATATTATAAAAACAAAAGCTTTAAATCGCAAAAATCTTAGGGGCACTGCCACTGCGCCCGTCACCCTGAGACATAAGTTGACAAATCCCATGTGCCTGAAATTTCACCAGCACCTTTAGCCTTCAAAATTGGAACATAGTAATGCTCACATTACAGTTTGGCGACAGAAATAGGTATGGTGGCAGTACTTCCCTGGATGAACTCTTTCACAGGAGCTCTACTGCTATATACTCGAAGTCAGCTTAATGTGAACTACTGGAAAAACCGCTCATTTTCACGTAATTGTGAAAAGGTCAGTTTGAATTTCCTACTGTGTTCTATTGTTTAAACAGCAAGATTATGAAAGAAAAGCAGTATACGAACCTGGTGACAGGCGGCGATCGCGGTGGGCGTGCGTTTAGCGACGGCGTGGGCGTGGGCGGATATGGCGTCCGCGGGTGCGTCGGGAACAGCGGCGTGCCAGACCGAGACTCGCGCGACCAACTCTCCGACCGTTCGCGGATCTGCAATACCATTCATTATTACTCATACTGCTCTCCTTGTCATAACTATTTAAATTTCGGTATCTTTCGAGTTATTGGCTAAATTTAATGACTAATTTCGTTGGTAGCATCTTTAAACCTTTCCCCTGAAAAGTTGTCATTTTGCTCATGTGGCTTTATTAGGTGCGAAATATTGCTCGCCCATGTCGTTTTATATGAGAACTAGTTACTGTCTTGTCTGATCAGTCAATCAAGCGCCTTGTATCAAGTGCCTTGATATCGCGTACTCAGAATAAACTTTAGTTATTGTTTTGAGGTACGTTTGTCAATTCGACTGTATTTTTGTGTGTATATGTTACGCGGTTACTACTTACGACATTTGAGAAATGATTTTAATGATTATGTTTTGATACATGGGTATCAAATCTGAGGTGGTGGCACTGCACATTTCAATTCAAACCCACCATTAAGGTGGTGGGTATCTTATTCAAATTTGAAGAAAATGTTTCACTTGTAAAGGGCAAATTAGGGGATGAATCCGATTTATTGGCTTTCACCCACTTTCCGTTAACCGATTTCAATGAAACTTGGCAAATATGTGTAATTCCACAAACATTTGAGGTCGTATTTTTTATTTAATAAAAAAATGTAAATAATATAGTTATTATCGGTGACTATTTTATGTATTTTATTATTTCGTATCATTGAATAATGATATGAATTTAAAACGACAATTTCTGTACTCGTATCTTAGAAGATATTGCTCGGTTTGGTGTTTAAGTTTACCCTCATCCAGCAATTACTAATATTTGCATGAAATTTACCAGGTTACTACACTAATTACCTGATCGTACAGTAGGAATATTTTTCTAATATGAGTACTAGAGCAATGATATTAACTCTGTGGCACTACTCAGAACACTCAGACTAGAACAACTTTAGAAAAATTTGTGCCTATCAAGATCAAAATAAAAAAAAATATTCCATAGGTAAAAATCAATTTACAATTGAAAACGTAATTTTTTAAGCTACTGCTCATTAACTATCCTGACTTCCCTGAGAAGACCGAGCAAGAATTTCTAGTGCTCTTTTGAAATAAACTTAAATGCTACGGAATATACTTTTCATGAAATATGTGCAGAATCTAGAGCCATATCATCTTTCTATACATCTTTATCTAACATATAGTCTTTTTTTGTAATTTTGTCAATTAAATACTTTTAATGTTAGTTTTTCGCTCACAAACCGTTGTCACCGAAAATATCAAGTTCTTACGTTGTTTAGTTCAAAAGAGAAAGAGTGAACTTACACTAACGGTGTCGTTGTTAATGGAGTCAGCAAGAGACAGCAAACCAGGCGCAGGAGTGCCTGACGGCGTGCTCGATGCACTCCACTCGCGCGTTGTCATCTTCTCGAACATGAATTTCCTAGATGAGGTCCTGTTGGTAATAATTGTGCGTATAGTACTAAGCTTTATTTAGTTTTATTTATCGACTTCTTAGGTTTTCGCGATTGTTACACATAGGAATAGTTTTATTTCTCATCTTAATTTTTTTCCTTATCAGCCGCTACTATCCCACCGCAGGGCCAAGGTCTCCATTCCCTTTCTTCACTAATCGCCATTTAACACCGCTACAGGTCAAAATCACATATAAGCATCTAACTCGTCACATATTCTCCTTCTAGATTTTCCACATGGTGGTCTTCTCATCTTAAGCTCTTTATGTTCACAAATTCTCTACTTGAATAGCTGTTTTTAGCAGTCGTAATAAGTGGTAGAACCTCTCTATAAATTTGTATAAGTTGACAAAAATTATGTTGAAGGTCTATATATATTTATTAAATATCGTTCAAAACTATTACTATTACGACGTAACTGAATAACATTCACCTATTGATATGACCTTATAAATAAATAATCAACAAGATGGACTTTCTAAGCTATAGAAACTAATGACGCATAGCAACAGTAGGTAAAATCGCGAAACTTGTTTATATCCATAAAACGGAGAACGACTTAGGTGTTATAATGGTCAGGTATAAGACAATCCTTAAACATGATTCAATAGAAATCACCTGTCTGGAGCTAAAGGGCTAAGACTGTCATTTCTCAAAGCGGTTCGTGTGTGGACGTGTAGGGGAACACTGAAGTCGTCGTCGTCATCTGCGAAGGCCGTTGTGTCGCTCGTGTAACCATCCATTCTGTAAACAATGGTTAATTAGATTAGCAAATTCAACTAGAATATTTCAATGATGTGCTGAAAGCCTAGCAGTAGCCCGCCTACTGTATATGGCGTACAACTGAAACTCACCGATGGCTAGCAGATCGTCTGACGTGCTTTGACGGAGCATTCCATTCGAGCGGCAGTCGCGCTACCCGTTCTCTAGCTTCTTTCCTTTCTCGAAGTTTTTGCTGCTGTCGTTGTAGCCAAGTGAGACCAGAGCTGCTTTCAACGTTACTCTCTGACCGCCTAGGTTCTCTCGTTCTAGTATCCTCGTGCCAACCAATTGCACTGTTTGATCTCCATGTTCCGTTTTCGGGCAAGATTTTGCGAGCACTGTTGGGGGGCCGATCCACCCACTCCGTATCGCCATTCAGCCATCTGTAGACAAATCACATAAAAAAAAAATATTACTGCCTTTTTAAAATTAATTTAATTTTAAATATATTCAATACCAACTAAGATACGCAAGCTGGCCTACCCTAAACTAACTTAGTTTTTGAACTAGTGAGTTTTTGGGAACAGTTTGAGTAACATATTTTTGTCAAGTTGCGTTATCTTTGTATGTTTTTGCTGTTATCGGGCGTAGGCTCATATTCAGTTGAGTATGTTATGCTACGAAGAATTGTACGCATAATTTTAAACGTGCCTTACTTGATGAAACAGTGGGTGGTATTCGAGGATAACCGACATAGTATAAGCGACTAATTAGTTTGAATATTTAACACCTTCCGCATGAATCTCGTGGAATGTCATATATTTGCAAGCCAAATGATGAAGTGAAGTTGGATTTGTTTAGCTTAGCTTGAACGAGGCGAAATAAAAATGTTCTTAAAGATTGTATTTACTTACTTTTAAACGTAATACATAGGTAGTGTTATAACGATGTGGTCAAATATTCGGTATTGGACTAAAATACCACTTATTAACTTCAGTTATCTATTATAACAATTGTTTTTTTTATTTATTTACAAGAATTTATGATTAATGAAAAAAGTAATTATTTATTTGACTTCAGTTTGATTAGCAAGCGCAAGAGACGGCAGGGAAGATATTCGTTCGCTGAGAGAGGCTATGGTAGAGCGAACGAACCTGACCTTAAGTCTTGTTGCCCAGTGGGGTGACAACAATCTGGTCAGCTTCAACGCCACCAAAACGCAGGCCTGTCTTTTTTCCGCAAAAAGGAGTCCATTTGATCTGACTCCTACTTTTCGGGGTGTATCTGTCCCAGTTACCGACCGCCTAGAGCTTCTTGGCATGACATTAAGCGCAAACCTCAACTTTGGCGCTTCTATAGAGTCTAAAGCGCAAACTGCAGCCAAGAAGCTGGGTATCCTTAACAAGGTGAAGCGATACTTCTCGCCTGGACAGCTTTTAACCTTATATAAAGCGCAGGTCCGGTCTTGCATGGAGTATTGCAGTCATCTGTGGGATGGCTCAGCGAAATACCAACTAGAGGCTCTTGACTCGATTGATCGCAGAGCCAGGAGGCTTATTGGCGACGATGAGCTCGAATATAAACTTCATAATTTAGCCCATCGGCGAAAGGTCGCGGGTCTGTCGGTTTTTTACAGATTATACTTCGGAGAGTGTGCCCATGAGCTCCACCAGCTCATTCCATCCGCCCCCTTTTACCATCGGACATCTAGACGAACGGCGGGATATCACCCGCCGTTCTGCCAACTGCCTCCGTGGCCGAACGGTTACCATGCCGGACTGCCACGCACAGGTCCCAGGTTCGATTCCCGGGCCGGGAGAAATATTTGTATGACCTACATTTATTTCTCTCGTGAGTTTGGGTGTAATTTGTGGTTGTCTATGTGTGTGTCCATGGCACCCGCGACACAGGGTTTCCCTAGTGCGGGGCTATGTTGAGTGTGTGCGTTATTATTATTATTATTATTATTACCCTCACCTTCAATAGATATATTAGATACTTTATTTTTGATTGATCTCTTAGAAAAATAATTTAGATGTTACATTTAATTTGATCTTTTAGATAAAGCGTTTTCGCGAGCTTACAATGTATGTTCAGCATTAATAAAAGTTATGACATAATTTACTGTGTTTTTTCTTATTTTCTTCTTCCCATTTTCAGATATTCAAAAAAAACAAAAAAAAAACGAAAAGAAAAAAAACAGGCCTAATAAGCCTACGTTCTATACGTTCTTTAATTTGTTTTTTTACATAAGTAAAATATAAATAATGATATTTGGAATGACAAAAGTGACTCTTATTTTCCATATTTACAAGTTTAGACCATATTTCTACACGAGACTTCATCCATATTTTCAATATTACGTAATAATATATTTAAAAAAAAACAAAGGTGCGTGCGTGCTTGAAAAAAATAGAGGCTTTAAGCAGTGTACTGCGCGGAAGATTAGAAGACAACCTAAACGTGACCTACTCACTTGCGGACTTGAGCAAATGTAAGTTTGCTCCAGTCACATCCTGTGACGTCGAAAGGTCATTCAGCCTGTACAAAGCGTTGTTCCGACCAAACAGAAAGAATTTTAATTTTGAAAATTTTTAAAACATGCAATAATTGCGTATTGTAACAATTACCGAATTTTTTTTTATAATAAAGCGCTGTCTATGTGAATACAGTTGTTTTTTTATCTCCATATTTTTTACATTTCAAGATATATTTTGTAATTTATATTGCATATTTATCCGAGCCCTACCGATTAGTAACCGAATGTTGGTTGCAACTCTATAAATAAGACAAGAAAAGACTTATTAAGTAGGTCCTTTTTATCAAGTACAGTGGCGCTGGCAACTAGAGCTGTAAGTGGTAGAGTGCGGAGCGGTTGGCAGGCGCCGTTTATGGCTGTTTATCTCGAAATAGCAACTTGTTTGAGACGCGGCCACGCAATCGTTCCAAATCAATCTTTGATCACAACTTGCCGTCTGTAAGCTGCCGTTTAAAGCACCCTAATATCGTGAATACGGTTGATATGTAAGCAAGTAACGATTGGCCAATGCAAAAATGAGGCGTTATAAAAATTTATTACGGGTAATATCCATCCACAAGCGACGTTGGTTAATTATCGACCAGAGTAATATAAGCTTGTTATTTAAACACAGATTTTAAAATCACAAAAAAACTACTTAATGTAATGGTTAAGTGGTTAATGGCTAATACGGTGAACTTAGTGTTAACTGGGAAATAGGAACTTTATCCATTCAGAATGCGCAGGCGCCGCATAAATAATTCGCAATAGGCAGTTTATGGCCGCATGTGCGGCGCTATGTTGCAGAACGTCTGGTTGCTAGTTGGAAGGTACTTGGTTCGATCTCGGCCCACGCCTTCGGTACAATTATGGACTGTTATGTACTTCCGTCTATATCGTTTGTTGTGTGTCAGTACATAAATATATCTACAGAATATGTGCTTTAGATGTATTGTTGTTGTCTTTACATAATAACACACAAGTAGATAAATAAACGTATAATAATAAATCAATGAAGGTTGACGTATTTGTATGTGGTTGTAAAGTGATTAAATAATTATATTGATTTAGTTATATCCATCACTCAACAATGAACACAGTCATTCTAGATAGAGGTAAAAGTAATCATAACATCATCAGTGCCTATTAGATACCTACTTACAATTTAAGCTCACTTACTCGAAGTTTACAAAGGCCCCTCCACAATGCGTGCTTGATGATTACAATGCATTAACGGACGTCGTTTGATTGACAAGAAAGATATTGATAGCATGCCATTATCTGCATGTCAATCATGATCGACATTCATGGCTTAACATTTTGTGCTGTTTACCTTGTGAAGAGTGAGTAATATAATATCAATTCTACTCATCCGTAGACATCGAGTGTATAACCAGAAATAGAGACGAAATGTCATTTAATTTGTTTGAAAACTATTCTGCCATATCATTACTGTGACAACTGCGCTCCGATTGGCTAGCCCGATTTCGAAACAATTGACGGGTGTCGTCAACTGTTTCACTTCAAATCAACCAGTTAACTTGAGCCTTGCTATAATGGAGAAAATTGTTAAATTACATATTTAATATTTAATTACCGATGACATGTGATTCCGTTTGTTTTGTAATTAGATGTTTTGCTGTTTTTCCCACACCACCGAATAGAACAGCACGGCATTGTTATATATATATATATATATATATACATATATATATATATATTTCAGTGCAAACGGGAGTTGATATTTATAAGAGCTGTATCGCTAATGTGTTACCAGGAATATATGGTCCTTATTTCGTTTCTATTTCTGGTTATATACTCGATGTCCGTAGTATTTATTCTTTTTTTTGTTTCATCATCAAACCACTGATACGTCACACTACTGGGCACGGGTCTCCTCTCAGGCGAGGGTTTAACCCATAGTCCGCTACGCTGGCACATTGCGGGTTGGAGACTTCACACGTTTTCCGAGGACTGTGAACTTCTTCGACGTGAAAAGCTTATGGTAAATTTCAAATTGCGAAAATCTTAGAGGTGCGAGCTTGAATTCGATATCACTGTCTCCGCTTGAGAAGCGGTAGGTCAAAGCATTAGGCTACTACGGCTTATTTTTATAAATTTATTTAATACACACACACACACGCGCACGCGCACACGCACTCGCACACGCACACGCACATGCACACGCACACGCACACGCACACGCACACGCACACGCGCGCACGCACACACACACACACACACACACACACACACACACACACACACACACACACACACACACACACACACACTGGAGAAACCCTAGCGAGTGTCATGGACACGCATAGGTAGAGAACCACAAATTACGCCCAAACTCACGAGAGAACAGTACTCGGGACTTCTGCGTAGCAGTCCAGCATGATAACTGTTCGGTCGCGGAGACAGTTAAATGATAGTTAAATAGGAGGTATTTATCTAACTAGGTAGACCAACAGCTTAATCTTAGCCAATTACAGATAGACACAAATAGAAATATAATTGTGTAAAAATGTGCGCAATTGAACTAGTTTATCACATAAAAGTGCAATCATAATTGTAAATCTCACTATGAGTCAAAGAAGTACTCACTCAGTGCTGTCCTTGCCGAAATCACATTCGTATTCAAAAGAATTTCGTGGAGTTATTGAATAAACAGAAAGAAAATTTCCTTCAATCCGACTGGACTCAACAAAAACAATACAACAATAGAAACCAAATAAAATATTACATAAAGTGTTAAAATAATTGCTAACATGACACATAAACTCGTTTTGCCTGTAATTAGTACAGGCTGGGGGTAAATCAAATGTGAATTGTTTCTAAAAGACTTACAGAAATCAGTGATATTTTTGATAGCAATTCGGACAGTTAATTGCGCATAATGCTATTTTTATTAAAAAGATTAGTCGACTAATAACACTAATGTTGTAGTGATGGCTGCTAGCAGGTTATATTCTGTTTTTATATTATAGTTCTTGTTATGGAAAATTATGTTATTAAGACAACGACTCCACTCATTAACCCATCAAATCTATACAATTATACTTTGTAAATTTCTGGTGGTATTTGGACGACTATTTTTATTTTTTTTATGACACCACGTGACGGGACGAACAAGTCTTTCGTCTGGTGGTAAGCGACACGTCTGTCCATAGCAGTTGCAGTGCCACTCAGAGTTTTAAATCGCAAAGACAGAAGTTGAAAAGACAAATGTGCCTATAATTTCACCAGCACCTCTTCAAAACCCGAACGAAATAATGATCACATTACAGGTTGGCGGCAGACAAAGGTAAGGTGGCAGTACTTCACTGGACAAAATCTTTCACAAGAAACTCTAATAAATGTAACACATCGTTAGGAATTCATCTTACTTCAACACCTGAGTATAATTTCTCAATAGTCTAGGTAGTACCTATTTACCAAGAGAATACTAATAGGGCACTTAGTAGCAATAATAAGCGCCACAAGCTATGCAAGTGTTCACGCAGTAATGTAAAATTGCATAACTCCAAAATGAAGAGTCCATAATGTTGTTGTATTAGGGCTTTACAGTCCGCCTTGTCTACAGAGACAAGGAGGGGCATTATACTAAACCGCAGTTACACACGCTCTCTGGATAATAACGGTAATTTACTCCGTGTTACTGTTGACACAATTGATCACGGCCTGAGTAACATACATCTGTTATGTGTATACTTAGTACTCGAGCATTCTAAGAATTTATATATTGTGGGAATTTATCATTGTTGACCTACATATTATATTATAACTGCCTATGATCGAACGGAACCGTGCTGGTCTGAGGTGCCGTGTTCAATTCCCGGGCCGGGATAAATATTTATAAGGCCTACATTTATTTCTCCCGTGAGTTTAGATGTAATTTGTGGTTTTCCTAGTGCGGGGCTATTTAAAAATAATGATTGTACATTTCAAAGCGATATTTCCAAGGAACACTACGCCAACTTTATTTTTTGGTCAACTTCTGTTATTTTTGTAAACAGCCATATTTATTTACTAATATTTTGCTCCTCGAATTTTATGAAAAAATAATTAAGAAACAAAGAACAAAAATCGAAAAAATAACCAAAGAGGTTAATTTTGTGGCATTGGAGTTATCGAAATGCAGCAGAAGCAACAAAGCTAATATTGAAAGGCAGTTTTTAACATGAAGTCGTCTACCTACTAATTTTCAACCGCACTTTGTCTTTATTCTTATTGTAATATATAACTTTGTCGTTATTCCTATTGACCCTGACAACGTTGCGTTTTATTTATTTAATGGTAACAAAAAGAGAAGTTTTTTTGCTTGTAGCGATGATTCTTTGTGTTGTTATTCAATTAACCACCCACAGGATCGCCGTCTGGATCCCACGCACCAATCGTGATATCGTTTACTGATCAGCTGGCCCGTACATTCAAAGATACCATTGCATTAAGTATTGAAATGTAGAGCAATATTTCTTCTCTTAAATGAACGTCATAAAAATACATTTAAAAAGCAGTGGTGTATTAGTAGCATAATAACTTTACTATACTAAGGTGTGTGTAGCCATTAGCAAATTTTAAGGACTCCAATAAATTACCATATTTTCTTTATGGCGAAGTCATAAAATTTAAAATGAATCATTAAGTTATATTAAGGGCTCTAGAGTTCTGTGAACTTAACTCTTTGTAATACTCATGACTAATTTGTGAGTTCCTATTATAGATGCCTCCTGCTTAGTAACATTGTGGTCTGGAACTATACAAAATCCCAATTATGGGGCCATAAAGATAATAGAATGGGTTCGTGGTGTAATAGTCGAGATTGCTTATGGTGTACTTTATTACCCTTCTTCATTGACGGCGAGTGAAGTGGGTCAGCCGGAACGCGAGTAAATAAATTAAGAGTTGTTTGCTGTCGACTGTTGTCAAGCAATCTGTTATTTTCTCATATTACTTGATATTAGTTCATGTAAAGTAATAGGCAATTGATACTTTCCTTTAGTGCAAGTAATATCACGTGAAATAGAACTGAAACGATTTTCTGTGTAAGTGTACTATAAAAGACTTACGACTGTTTATTACCTTGTATCTGGTTTGAAGGCAATGTTTAGAAAGTATAAAGAAAAATGTGTATTTTGCTAAAACAACGTTTAAATATAGTAAAGTTAAAGCGTACAAACGGTGTGTAGCGCGGTGTAGGCGGCGGCCTCCACGCCTGCACATGCGCACATGTTTATACATCTGCGCCAGAACCCCGGCTTCTGGGCACACGATCCTATCTTACACTGATTCTAGTTTCCGTATTCACGACAGGAAAGAATAAACTATCCTTTAAATAAATTTATGGATATAATCAACCTTGATTATAATGACGATACAGGTCATAATATATAACAAAAGCTACCACGTGAACGTTGTCTTTCCACCCGAGATAAATAATGTTTCACGATTGTTCTTTTCTGCTTAGTTAAGTATTACGAAAAAAATAATTTGATCTGTATGTATAAAGCTGAATGCAAATAAACGAGTCCTTTTAGTTCGTATACCTTCATGTATGTGTATGTATACATTACGAACCCACATTTTAAGCCTTACATAATGTACACATGTCTAATTTGGTTAAAAGTTGACATTTTAACAGTAAATCAATACTTCTACATATATATGTGCTTACCTCCCGTTACGCAAAGGCGACGAGGGTGATGGTGCTGTTTTAGTGGTGGTGACATCTTCGTGAGTAAGTTTTCGAAGAGTTCGAGGTGAGAGCGGAGTGCGAGGCGAAGGATCAGGAGTGACGGTGCGGTCTTCGTCGTCGTCCTCGATGGGCCGGTAGTTACGGTCACCGCCGAGGGCGCGCCGTACCAGCTCGGGGCTGGCGAGGCGGTTTGGCGCTCGCAGCATGCCGGGTCTAAGACCGGGGGCGCCGTATGTGAAAGGTGCAGAGTCAGCGCGCGCGTGATACGGTATGTCCGGCGCGCGATCGGGCTGCGACTGCGCTGGCGGCGGCGGGTCGGGCAGCGCGCTTACGGTGCGTAGCATATCGCCCAGCAGTGCGTCAAGCTCGTCCGGCGGGCTGGGGGCGGCGCGGCGTCCCGCTGACGAAATACCCGAGTCCATGGAGGCGCTGAGCGGCGAGGCGGGCCCGCCGCCCGCGCGCACTACTGTCGCGTAGATGGATCCGTCGAGAGGACCAAACGTATGCGCAGCTTCGGCTCCCTCTCCTGCTTCGCCACCAGAGCCTGAGCCCTCTGCGCTGCCGTTGTTCTCACCTACAACAAAAAGTACAATGTTCAGTTTTTGGCAATCGTACTTAAATACTTTTCTATACCGAGTGCAAGTATTTTTACATATTGAACTTGAAGGAGAAGAACCGGTTCACCTTAACAAGTTAACGATGCCGATTGATATGCTATCAAATTAATAAAAGAGGCGTCTAATTAAATTATCTCATTTGCAATTCAATAGGATACCTACATAATAATAAAGAGACCGCAAAACAGTCGCCTCGAGTAGTGTCGTTCCAGTACCAGGCGATGTGTTTAGAGACGGTTAATTACAAATGGACTTTAAATTGGATCTGATTCGCTCCAATAAACCAGCTTAGCCTTGTGGAACGTCAACTTTGTGGCTGTGCAAACACGTTTAAATTTCTTTAACATTTTGTACGAATCACCATCACTTAACATGTACGCATGATTTGTAATTTACGGTATTAGCACGTAATTACATACTATTATTTCATACCTGTTTAATGGCAGATCGTGTTCTGTAAGGAAATGTATCTAAAAATCTATTCTTGAACCGTTTATTCCATGTATTCAGTAGCGTAACTACATCGGGCACCCGATCTCCGATAAGTATGGTAGGACCGCACCCTTAAAAGGACTAAGTTTACTTCCCGTTACACCTGCAGCGGGATGTCACCGTTGTTTGATGGAATGTAGAAGGATCAGTCCCGCACTACCATTTTTATCATTCGCACACTAAGTCCACTTACAAACTGCTAATAAAATTTGAGTTACCCTAAATCCAATGCTAAATTAATATGCGTTCAACTGTAATACCTAATGCTGTGGTATTAAAAATCTTTATCGTTCCATATCGATGTGTTCAACAAAGAAGTTCTCCGTGTATATAACGAAGTAAGTACTAAGAGATAAAGATAAGACACATGATGCAAGATAGGCGACCTCGATATTGTCAAACGATCCTCACAAGAGGAATCTAAACATAAGCAGGCGGTTCAAGGTGACGCACCTAAGTAAGGAAGTGACCTCCAACCAGTACTTTAAAGTTATTCTAGTGATTATAAGTATATTTGTAATACTGTAATAAGCTTGTGAATCAAACAAACGGGGGGAAATTAACATGATTGTGCAATTAACAAAGTCATTATATCTATGTACCTACCAAGACTAATTACAGCATTGGTTTGGTATACGTTCTCGATGTTTTAAAACTTTTGCAGCTACGTTTATACATGATATATGTCTGTCACGAAACACACTGATTTATTTTATTAAGCTTGACCTTAGACAATTACATAATTTAATGATTGACTTTACTGAAAAAAAAATTATTCAGTTCACTCGGAGTTAGTAAGCTCCATTATATCACAAGATGGCGACTGCAATTGGCCATCAGTACCATGTAATCAAACCTCGTTAGAGTTTTTCTTGTTGGGTTACATTAAGTTCAAGGAGTAAGGAAAACAACTGCAAACAATTTATACCTTAATGTTCACGTCAGTCAGCTCATTTATGAAATCGAGCCCAATTGATGCGGCAGGGTTTTCAAAAATTGGATCTCTAGTTTGGGCACTACTCGGTGGAGTCGCGGCGGCCATTTGTACGATTTATTTTATTACCTTCCAAATGAAAAAACATTTTTACAATACCGTTTAGATGATCTTTTTTATTTGTATTTTAAGAAGCATAGCGTCCTCATGGAAAAAAACTATATCGTAACTGTTTTAAATAATAGTACCTACTGTGCAAAAACTAACAACCCTCGTTACTTTGTATTTTGTGTGTTTGTTATCTCTTGCGCAAATAAATCTTGTAAAAACATTTAGGTTAACAAGTGCCTAAACGACATTCGACATTGCCGGACATGAATGCAAATAAAGCAGAGTGACTCCATTTCGTCATAATGACCATGTCTTATTCGCAATGCAAGATTTTTTTTATTTGTTGAAAATGTGGAAAAGTCCACGGGTAAACGTGGTGAATTGTTCGGCATCCGTTTTGTTCGGTTTCGAAAGAGAACTAAAAGTGAAGTGTCAATAACGCAATTAGCGTAAACGTATCAACGTCAGCGTCTGGTGACCGTCGGCGTCGGTCGCTGTTAAGGAAGACGTGGTTATTTCTGTGATGTCACCAAAAATAACGCGCTCGCGCGGGCGAGGGCTACTGTTACGAAATGTGCGCCGGCGCAGGAAGAGGATATGCGCCCTACGCTACTCGCACGGCCCTACACGCATATTTCATGCGCCATCTATAGTTAATGTATTGAACAACAACATTTCAATTTTATTATAACCAAATTCAAATACCTCATTTGTAACCATTTTGTAACATTATTATTTTTAAGTCAATGACACTTATGACACACTTATTGAAACTTGAAGTTGCAAAAATACATTTATGTCAACAGTTACATCATCGAGATTCATATCCAAGAGTCAGGTCGCGTCAGGCTTTCAGTTCGTTAGCTAATGAAAATGAGCGTGACCGTACGATGCCCCGGATCGGACACGCACGTGTCACGCCCATAGAGCAAACAGACGATATCTAAACGCCCAACACACATTTGTATGTTTTATTAACATCCTTAATCCTGAAGATATAAAGAATGGTGCAATTTGTATTTTTAACACTGATAAACCGCAAAAATAAGAATGTCACGTTTATTATATCGGGATATATTCGAAACGAAAAAGACATAACTAAAGAGTATTTTTCACGAACTCCATGCATAACTACAAAGTTAATTCCATTAATCTCATTGAGCGGACGATGCGTAGCAGTAAAAACGACGGCTGATCGGCGCGAAGACATAAAGACACATCGATATTTTTACTTAAAGGCCGCAACAAGTTGTGCGGATGCGAAGGTGAGCGCGTGTCGGGCCATACAACCACCGGCACCGCGCCATGATGTCATCGGCCACCTCGCTTCTTCGAAACAAACCCATATTATTATTTAACTCAGCTATGGTTCGTTATTCGACGTTACATCCAAATTTTGTAACCAGTTTGGCTGTTTTATCTCTTATTTTGGCCTTGTTTCAAGTTGTGGGCTATTGGCAGGTCGTTTAAGGTATGGGTGTTTACGTAAATACTTTATAGTACATGTCGCAAATACAAAGGTGGTTAACTTGCAATAACGGAGTTGTTATAATCAGTTCAAAATCCAATTATTGCAGAAAGAAAATGTTTGCAAGTTGTAACTTAACGTTTTACTCACCCCTTTTGTATGTAATAGTAATCAAATATATTTAGTGATACGCGCGGGTAAAACTGATTGAAACGTTAAGTTTTGTGGTTACATGACACTGAAAATTATACCAGCAACGGAGTGCGGACGCGTGTCTACACGTCCACTAGTATTGCACCTGTGGAACCGACTGTCCTGTCGGTCCGGCTGAAACGAAAGCTCAGCCGATAAAATTAATTCTGGTATTTAACTTTCTGCGTAATGTTCACTCAGAACCCAACCAGATTTAACGTTAAAAATTCGAATTTTTATGTACAAACAATTTAAAAAATGACTGATAATCTAGACATTTTTATGACAACTTTAAGCAAGAAGTTTTCTTGAACAAATATAACACTAAATGTATACGAATTTCTTGTAGGCTAAATATAATAGTACTTCTTAGAGAATGTTCAAAAGAGAAGAAAATCTTGTTGATCAGAGACTCTTTTAATTAAAAAATACCTAATTACGACCTTTACTCGGTTTGAATCGCTTTTCAAAGCAGCATTTTTGTTTGGTAGAAATCAAAACTTAGCTCCAATCATTCAGCACTAGTGTCAAAAAGTCCAACACGTCGCGTCAGCTAAGAGGTTCGAAATAAATAGAGTAGGTACAAACACGACATGGGGAGTCTGAAACACAGATCAAGTTGTGTGGAATCGTTTTGCTGATTTGTTAAAGAATCAGTTTACGTCTGCATATGCTCGTTTGTGCGTCGCAGCACCGTAGAATGCGCTCTACCGGTATGTTACGAAGTCCTCTATATGATAACACTATCAGACTCATTGTCTGATAGTGTTAGACTCATTGAGTTCAATATAACATCTATGGTTAGACTAGTCTTCTCAAATATCACACAACATCTTCAAGAATCGTTTTTTGAAGGTGTATGTATATACGTATACTATATACATACACCTTCAAAAAACGATTCTTGAAGGTGTCATAATCAATCATCGTCATTTATAGGTCCCAATGTTGGGTACGGGTTTCCTCCCAGGCGAGGGTTTAGGCCATAGTTCGCCACGCTGGCCCAATGCTGGTTGCGGACTTTATATGTTTTCCGAGGGTTGTGAATCTTCTTCGACGTGTTGAACTTTCTTTCGCAGATAAATTCGCACCCACACGGCCTCTGCTTGAGAGCCGGTAGGTTAAACTATTAGGCTACTACGGCCACTACTTGAAAGTGTATTTAAGCGAGTTCATTTCCTAAGCCTTCCGATTTAACAAATCCGATACCTAGACTAATCTAATTAAGGATTGTTTTCGTTAAATCATTAATACGATCGGAGTCGTCGGAAGTAGTCTGTACTTCAATTGCTTTTAGCGGTTAAACGAAGAATAATCAGACAAAGTGAACGGCCGAGAATCGCTTTTTATACGGTGTTAGTTTGATTGACAGCGCTAGGCGGCCGGCGATCGGTCGCGGTTCGTTCGAAGGGAATCGGTCAGAGTGTGACTAACGGCTGGCCCTAGGCAGTGACGGGACATACATCATCGATTCACCACACCGGTCAATTAGCGACCTGTGGAACCAAAACTCTTTAAATCTTCGCGCTTACTTAACAAAATTCTTGATATGCACTGACATGTGACACTTTCTTTTGGAAGATTTATAGTATATGTTTATACCTTTGTTATACTTCCGTAAGTCTACGCTTTTGTTAAGGTTATATATTTTATAATTGTATAATGTATAATGAATTTTTAAAAATTATTTCAAATAAATGTTGAACGAATATTAAAATTTAATTTTAGCAATGTATTTCGTATTTTACGCGCTATTGTTGAAATGAAAACATGATTCTGTAAACTCAACTAATCGATATGCTTCTAAAGTGATATATGGCATCGAATTTCGGTTATTTTTACAAAACAGTTTACATAATTATTCATTATTTAAGTTGAAAAATTGGATCAACCTCAGCATTAATTAAGACCGTGGGCGCGGGATGTCAAGAAAAGATTCGACAGAAACTATACCAAGTGCAAAGTTGTATTGTCCTACTCACCTCAATAATGTCGTCTGTCTCGATACAACACTTCCTCTGCGGTTTAAATCTAAGAATATGCCGTGAAGATTTATGAAGTTTTGTGCCTCTTTTCGTTAATGAGGAGCTCTTATAATATATAGAGGTTTATGAATATGAAACTTAGGTGATATATAGCAACACGTGTGGAGCGGTGCGAGCCGGCGGCAGGCGGGCGGCGACTGGGCGGGCGGCTGCGGCGGCGGCCTGAAATAGCCCCGCACCTGCAGCGCCGCAGATAACCGCCACCTATCCACTAACTGTCGTTTTGTCAATTATTACAATGACATTCCGACTGAATAATATGGGTGTTAAGTTGCCGCTGCTCTATTCGATCAGTTCACTCGATAACTCTACTGCTCTCCTTGAGATATTGGCATTGAAAGTTTCTTTTTTCTTTAAATACTTAATGTCAATTACGCTCATTTGGCTTAATAATAAAACTTAAACTAAATAAAATAATAAAAAACCACTTATAGGGCGTCGTAGATGTCGTTTTGCTGATTCCAGATATGCCAATAACTCAATTTCGCTTAAAATGTCGATTACGTTAGTTATGATAAGTCTATGAGTAGTAATTTCGAGAAGTAAGAGCAAATATTAGGGGTACATTTGGGTATTCCACATTATTTTGGTAAATGTTTCTTTTGCCGTCTTTTTCCTTACTTTTTTTGTATATTACAATGGTAAGCAAGTAAAAGTAAGTGGTAATGGTAGTAAACCCAACAGTAACGTTCATACAATGTTTCCTTGTTAGAATTAAATAATGCAAATAAAACTGTCATTAACCAGTAACATGTGAACTGTGTAAATATATCGGCGCTGAATAAGTGCTCGACGCCAGTAGAATCTGTTTCAACTATAAATGGTTGAGTTACGTTTGACGACCCCTTCTCCATCGTTAATAATCGAGTTTTTAGACTTTCGCGATAGTTATACGTTGGAAAGTGAAACTATTTTTTCGGATCTAAATTGAGTAATTGTTTCTTACTGCCATCAGTTGCGACCATGGGACCTGTAAAGGGCCCGAAACGTTTATTTGAAAAACAAATTAGTTTCTTTTCCATTGCTAATAAATTATTTTTGCCATGATATTTAAAGACTACGTAATGAAATCTTCATTCCTTTACAGTTTTGTGAAGTCAACTCTGATTTCAAAATAAAATTTTCGGTAAATATTTTTATTTATATATTTTGATTGTAGAAGTATATCTAGTGCCATTGGCTTCACAAGTTTATTATTTTTTAATTTTATCTGAGTAGGTATCCATTTAACGAAAACACAAATCCAAACTAATATTATGAATGCGAAAGTAACTCAGTTACATTTTCACGACTAAAATGTTGAATCAATTTTGATGAATTTTGGTATAGATATAGATGTGACCTAGGAGAAGGCCATAGGCTAGTTTTTGCCATAAAAATAAATCTTGGAGGGTGTGAAATAGGGGATGAAAGTTTGTATGGAGAACCAATAAAACTATGAAAATTCGTAAAGTACAGTAAGGCTCCTCGAAGTATTTATTCTACGCAGACTAAGTCGGGGACAAGAATTAATAATACGTAGTTAGTAAAATATGCGTAAAGTATCCAGTTCAACAATTAAATATAAAAATGTTTAAATATCGACTGAAATATACTTTTAGATAGAAATGTACTAGCATAGGCCAACAAACAAAACCAGACACGGGAAGCAAATAAGTAGTATCCGCCAGGCAGCTATTACGCAAGTATGTTACACAAAGTTGCAGATTTTCCCTGCGGATGTTCTGTTAGTAATAACTTGTAACATACGTAGTTAACGAACACGTTTTGGAGAACGTGAACATCTGCGGTGGCAACTGGAATACTATTCAAGAGTTATGTCCTGTTCGTGAGAAATGTAGTTGTTGAGAAAAGCATAAAACCAAAACCGCAGTTTCAAAATTACAAAATACATTCACTACAAAGGAACAGCTACACATAATTTTTTACAAAAAGGAACTCAAACTACAATGTTTTATTCATTATTTAGGGTGTGTTATTTATAATATGGATCGTAACATATCACACTTGTTGAATGTCGGTTATGAATACAAATTATTCTTACACACGTGCAAATATCATTTATTCGTGAATTTGCCATAAACACAATACAATAAATACAACAGAAGTGCTTAGCGCGCGTGTGGCAACAGTACGTGAAGTCCCGCAAATTTAAACTCAGTCCGCCATTTTCGCTTATATGTTGTGGTCGCGTCAAATTATCTTGCGCAAAACCTCGAATATCGTTGAAAA